ATTGCGGCGAGTTTGCGCTAGGCACTTTAAAGGGCTGTCAGGGGGGCGGCCGCCCCCTTCGCGGAAATGGCGTCTGTTCCGATTTCTCTTATCACACGATCGATTCTTTACTCGCTTACTTCATCGCTTCGGATAAGATCCGTCGACCGATTTCCGTCCTCTCGAAGAGCCAGACAAGACCCACGACGAGGCTCGTATCGATTTCACCGTCCGGTATCATCCTTATCGTCATCCCATCGAGAAGGATTGGGAGTTAAACGATTCTTCATCCGCTGAGCCAGAATTACCCGAAGTTTCCCCGAGCTGGCTTACCTAACGAGATGAAAGTCTTCGAGAATTCCAACGTCTTCCTATAAGTTTTCCGGGAGAAAAGATCGGCAGCCACGTGAGAAGTACTGCGGCATCAGCTCAGCTGAAGATGAGCTCGAAAGATGCACGTCCGAAATGAACATTCAACGTTCCAAGTCTCCTTGCGCGCTCAAGTTGAACATTTTCTTGAACGTTTTTGTTCCAGTCGGGGTGTTCAGCGGAAGTTGCACCGGCATTCAGTCTTTAGGAAAAGCACTCCATGGAAAAGCACTCGCCGCCGAATCCTTAAACTCGGCATTACGGTGCATCCCCTCATCGAAATGGATGAAAGCGGAGGCTACTTCCGCTTCCGTCTCTCTCTCTCTCGTAACGCGGGAATAAAAGGGGAAGCGAGCGGATGATACCACGGAAAGAGGAACCCCGGGAGATTAAAAGAAGCGTGCTTGCCTCTATATGGAATTGGAAACAGAGCTGTTCGCAGTGTATCTTTTCTCTCTCGCGATTTATCGATGTCCCCTGCGAACATCCCATCCCACGAGCAGTTGGGAGAGGGAGAGAATCTAAGTGCTTGGAGCGTACTCCTTTCCTAAAAGAATTGTTTATTTATTATTTATTATTTTTAAAAATGTATTATGAAAAGATCCAATCGGCATTCCTTTTGACTAATTACCTTCTCGACATCTCCAGTCCAACAGTGCTACCATCTCCTGGTATATAGGAACAACTTCTCACTTCTCTTATCCCTCTTCTCTCTCTCCCTCCCTCCCTCTGTCTGAGATAATGAGTTGGGCTGCTGGACACTCGGATCTTGAGGATTTGGACGTATCCAATTTATTTGCAGTAAGCAACGCGATTCCCGTCCGGAACGTGAAATGGAAAGCTGAAAAAAGTCACTAGACTCTTTCGCTGGCTTCTTGGCATCGAGTACTACTTTATACAAATAAAACATTTCGACTCCTGAAAGCACTTTAAAACCTCTATTATGCAGACTGCAGAAAAGCTAAAGGCAGAGGCAGAAGAGAAAGAGAGCAATCCTAATGAGAAATTCATTAGATTTGCACTGAGCATATACATGCATCAGAATACTTCACATAATACTGTGATCTCCAGGAAATAATGCACATGCATTAGGTTGTCAACGGGGAGGGAAATGGCCATTAGGGAGAGTGTCCCACACTGAGGGACCTCTTCTCCGTTCCCATCTGCCCTTTTGTACACAAGAAGATGGAAGAGAAGAGAGAAGAGCAGAGGTCCTGCTTTTTTTCGTCTGTCGGTGTAATCCGATCTCGTCCTTGTATGCTTGGCCGACCTCGCCACCCCGTCCCTCTACGTTGTATTTCCCCCAGAGGAACACTTGCATCGGGAAGACTTGCAACCCTGACGCCGGATCGACCCGTAATCAATCGATGGGATCCCAAATGTCGACTGCATATCATTGCGAACGACAGCGGCGATAAAGAGCGAGAAGCTATCCACTTTCCCATCTAGGGGAGCGGCACCAGTTCGCGAACAGGGAGCCAGTTAGCGAACGAGGGTCATGAAATGCGATTTGGCCTTTTGTTACTCTTTTTCACACTCCATCCCAAGCATTAATTAATCAATCGATCCATTTTCTGTAGATACCGAAAGCTGGAGCGTGTAACTCGAGAAACAAAAGGCCAAATCGCATTTCATGACCCTCGTTCGCTAAATGGCTCCCTGTTCGCGAACTGGTGCTTCTCCCCTACATCCAGAACTGCTAACGAAGTAAAGAGAGAGGAAATGGGGAGAGAAGGCAGAAACGAATCAGGCTGAAACCTGCCATGAGCCTGCTTCCAAGCGGCAGCAGAGGAGAAAAAGGAAAACTTGTTCCGCACTTCAGCACTCCTTCGTTCTCGCCAACTCCTCCCTCCTCCTCCTCCTCCTCCTCCTCCCCCTCTCCCTCCCCCTCCCCCCTCGTCAACGAAATGAAAGGATCCGGGATCTTTCGAGCGGGCCTTAAAAGGAAAGAGTTCGGCTTGAATTCCAACTCGACCTTGCCGGGCCACTCGACGGATTCCCAATGTTTGTCGAGGGCGCGAAGACGAATCGAAGGTAAGGTCGGCATCAATCGAAGGTCTTCCGGACGAAAGGAATTCTCAATTGGTCAAGGTCGACACGAGTGCTTCCTAGGTGCATAAACATCCACCATCGCGAGGACGGAATGAAATTGAGAGTCTCCATCGACGAGCTACCGCATTCTCGAGTGACAAGTTTTTTGCGGCGAAAGTCTTACCGGTCGCACATACAGAACGTTTCGAGGACGGAAGCTTCAGCCACATAAATATGCACGAGTCTAGCCATTACGTACTTGCGGGAAGAGTAGCCAAAGAATTAGTTGGCAAAACAGGCGAGAACTCGTCCGCCTTGGCTGACGGATACGGAAGCGACAGCCACGGTCGGCATTTTTTTTTTTTTTATGGGAACAACATCTCCAGGTCAAACATTGGAAAGGCAATCCCAGCCCGTATCTTTACCGGGTGCGTCGGTAGGACACATTTAGCAAAGGATCCTGTACTTCCTTCAGTGATATTGGAACAACGGAGAGACAGGACGGGACTGTTTAGAGACCTATTTTTCTCTAACTTTTTGCTAAAAAAAAAATTTATTTCGCATTTTTTTAAAATTTCTTTTATCGCTTTGACACCCTGGTTAATCCATTCCCGATCAAATTCTCGGATATGGAAATCCCCCGGACTCTTACATTGAGGGTAACCATAGATTGCCTAACTGGACTTGTCATCCTAGTGCCATGATCAACGGAGAGACCCCACAGGATTGCCAGATTCCACTGAATCTATCTATCTCTATATCTATATAAAGTCTATCGAGTACCAAAACAGGTGTGGAATTTGAGATTATGCTTATTTTCGCACTAATTTTTCTCTTCGAAGGATCCTTTCAAACAATATTTCAGTTCTTGCACACAAAGGATGGATTGTCCAATTAAATCGTTTGGACAAGGGGCTCCTTTGCTGATGTTTGTTTTGTTTTCGAGGAGAGCATGGAATTCGAAAAAGGGAAGACAGTCCCACGAGGAGTGGGGATGTTCATCTTCGAAGGGGGAAGCCAAAGTTTCCTCGGATCGATGGATCACCTCTTTGAATACCAAGTCACGGCTACGTGATGTATTCCATCAGGGTGAGGTGCTAACCCGAAAAGGAAGTGGGGCCGCTAATGACGCTGCGGCCACTTCTCAATTCCTGGAAACGTGAGGTGTTCGGCAAGGGGGAAAGCTTTCCACGAAGAGAATTCCAATTCCAATTTCCAATTTCCAATTCTGTCAAGTGCAAGCACATTGGAGTCGATTTCAGTGATATCTCGTTGATCTGGAGGGAAGTAATGGAATCCCACCCGTGAAATTGCAAGCAATCGACCGAATTGGCACGGATCTTCGAGAGAAGGGCCAAGAAACCAAGAAGCCTGGCTTCAACCGTCCCGAAATCGTAGAGAATGGCGTCGAGCGACAGGAAGGAACGAAGAAAGGACTCACGATGTGCGGTCTTCTCGAGCACGTGGACAGACGGCGAGGAGACGCGGGAGAGGCTGGGAGAGAGCGACCTGCGGTGCGGGCGGGGGGTGGATGAACAGTGACTGGCATCCCTGGTCAGCGCTCAGACCTTCCCCAGCCGAGACGCAAGCGTCAAACCCACTCTTGCCTTCCCGAAGAATTTCTCGTTCACCACCCGTGAACAATAGCAACATTACTGGACGAGGAAAGGGGAGAGGAAGGAAAACTTGCGCTCGTCCTCGAAGGCCTTTGTCTCGTGGCTTTCGCTTCCCTTTGTCTTTAGGCAACATTTCATGCACTCGTACTTTAAAAAAGTTACTCCTTTTATTTTCTATGCTTCATTAGTTTCAGCACTATTTTTCATAATTAATGCAAAGTAAAGGTCAATGCAAGAAACCGTTGGAAGCAGGAAGAAAAAGTACCTTAACCGCAGTACCTTAAAACCTGGAATCTATAGGCCTGTAAATTGCATGACTGAAACAGCAACATCGCCGTTTTGCACTACTGCAGTGAAGGCCCTATGGAATGCGTTCCTGCCTGTTCAACCACTTTTCAGTCATGTTATCGTGTCATAAATTTCTCCCTCGGTTCCTTGTTCCTTGCTTCTGCCGAGTTCCTTCGGCTTTTGGGAGAGCGAAGTTCTTGAAGATGCAAGATTTGCATTAGTTTAGTTGGAAGTCGAAGTGGCTCCACTCGGGGTTTTGTACTGCGAAAAGACTTCCAAAAACATACTCCTTTTTTGCGGAGACAGACACCACAAAGCATTTCCTTCTCGTTTAAACGCCACGCAATGGAGCAGATTTCTTATGCCTCTGGCCTCCGGGTTGTGGTAATCCCTTCTCAATCGGCCCTCTCACTTTTAACTTCCAATCCTTATTATTAAGCATTTTCAATTTCTTCTGGCTGTCTTCCTCCCAGGTAACACAAGAAATTCGGTGTACGTCCGTAGCATATCCTCAAATCCTGAGGACATACTGCGGACAACGTCGGATGTCTTGTATTACCTGAGCTTTACGTAGGGAAATTCTGTAACCCATTCGTAAAAGTAGCATTGCAGCGATGCACAATTCCTCCTCAGAAATCCTAGAGCAAACAAGTCGATGCCCTTTCCACGATGATGAGTAAAGAAAAGCCGTGAAAATTGCAGGAGAGAAAGACCAGATGATATGAGATAGATTTTTATTGATCTCCAACTTTCAACAAGATTCAAGATACGACCATACATCTGGTAAATATAAACACTCTTCCTCTTCTCCTTTTCATTATTACTCTCACAATTGTAGTACATAAATATAGTGAATTTCTTTTTCTGAATCCATCCATTGCTCAATGGTGGGGACAAGAGTAAAGACTTGGTCCGTCCAAATTCCAAAGATTCACTGGGAAGGAACTCAGGAATATGTCTGTGAGGAAAACAATTACACTGAGCATTGGAAGAGAATATCATATGGCAAAACTGAGCTAGAAAACTAACTCTAAAAACGACCACACAGCAATGCCAAATAATCTTGAAGCTAAAAATAAAAACCAGGCAATTGATGAAACAAAGGAAAACCAAAAATTAAAACAGCCTGTATTGATAAAAACAAATAAGATAAAAAGTGCATAACTGGAGCTTCATGGAAGATAAGGGGATGGGGAATGCAAAAGGAGCCAGCTCTGCAGGTAAACTGGAATGATCTTACTGCCATCCCACATAGATGGACACTCAAACAGGTGGTAATGAAATTGCATGATGTTGAAATAAATAAATTAAAGGGAAAAACCTCAGTAACGCATGAAAACTCTGCAAGCGGCAAATGATTTTTTTCTGCAACTCCAATTCATATGACCTGATTGACATCAAATCTTGCCATAATCTGCCCTTTTGCAATACTCAATTCATTAATATGATGGTTTGAGAAAATTTTCCAATCTCTTGAGGTTGATGAAGAGGACAATGAATGTATTGCACAACCAGGTTTCAATATACTCTGACCATAAAGAAAGACATTAAATTACAATAAAGCAGGCACTTGCAAATTTTTTATTCCCCCATCATAAAGTTAAGAATGAGATTGAGCAAGATTCTTGATCGACAGACAGCACAAACTGCAAGATTTCCCCAGCATCGAAGTCTTCAAGAGACCAAGACAAAAAAGAATTTTTCTCTGTTTCAAAACTTGAAACATGCCAAATGGTGATTGTTTGAAACAAGCATAAAATGCTATCTAATGAGACAGACTGCATAAATGGGAAGAGAAGGAATGGGAAATTGATGTCATCAGACAGCAGTGGGAGATTGGGCCATCTGGGGACCGGGTGGAGCAGCATAGCGGTAGCGTTGGTCCTGCTCGCCTTCCCATGTGTACTGCCCTGCTTCAGAAAAGGCCATGAGTACCAATAGGTATATTTCAAAAATAAAGCAGCAGAAAGAATATATAATAGGAATATTAACCTAATGAAACAAAATTCTCTTACACAAACATCAAGATTTTAATAAGGTATATTTTGATCCATTATAGCACGATGAGTGCAAACAGCACACCCTTTATACATGTGTATAGTTTAATGGTATGAAAAATTCATTGCATGGAATGGTCAATGGGACTTCGTTACCTCCCTTGCCCTTTTGTGTTATGTAAAACAATCTCACAATTTGAAAACATATATTTGATTAACCCTTTCAAGCTGCTTGGATGCTGCACTTCCCAAACAGGAAAATAAAATGCACCCCATCAAATTTCACTGGAGGAGCCATTTTTTCAGCATACAATAATGTAACATAACATAACATACTTCTTATAACTGAAACAACTGAAAAACTGAAACTGATTTTTTTTTTCAATGGGATTGCTAGAAAATACTTAAGGTGACTATTTCAGCATACTCACAAAGTTGGCCCCACTAAGCTGAAAAAAAAGTTCCTAGCATGAATGGGATAATTTTTGTGCACATTTCTCAAAGGAAGAGCAACAAAGGGCTATAATTTTCACTGTGAATCATAAATGCCTATAGGTATGGTAGGCAGGCCATACGGCCAAGTCAACAGTGACTAGTTAAGTGATTTATATTATGAAGCTCCCTGGTATTAACCCTTTCAGACCTGGCATCCATTCCAATGGACATTGCATTTACACTATGTCTATTGCAACTTCTTAAAATTCTCGCGACTTTGCGCTCCATATTACGCTAAAATGGGCGTAATTATGCATGGATCAGTTCCATCAGAGGCATTCCCTTACCATATAGTATTTTAATCTTAAGTTATTTAATTAAATTTTTAATATATAATATATGGCATGATATGGTAAATTAATACAAAATATAAAAACTACATAAAAAGCACAAAATTTTCAATTAAAATCACAAAAGAGCTCAAAAATGCAAAAAATATATAATTCCGATAGTGGCCTTAATTCAGGTCTGAATGGGTTAAAGAGAGGGGAAAAAATTATTAAAGCACAGTTACAGCAGAAAACTTCGAGCCAAGTTGCTACATTTATATTTTGAATTCTAGCTTTAAGATATTAAACTAAAATGGCAGATATTTTCAGTGAATCCATTGCAACAAAATGTAAGGCTCATAGAATTCCCATCTGTTATATCCTCAGAACCTGACCTTTGTTGCAACAATAAGCAAGAACAGCTGACTACAGAAACAACTCAAATGAGCCAGAAATCATTTAAAGGCCTAAAAGACTTTGAGAAGTCATCACAGGTTTGCACAAATTGAAAAGGAAATTGGCACCACTGAAGATGAACTTCCTAGCATCATAAAGTTAAGAATGAGATTGAGCAAGATTCTTGATCGACAGACAGCACAAACTGCAAGATTTCCCCAGCATCGAAGTCTTCAAGAGACCAAGACAAAAAAGAATTTTTCTCTGTTTCAAAACTTGAAACATGCCAAATGGTGATTGTTTGAAACAAGCATAAAATGCTATCTAATGAGACAGACTGCATAAATGGGAAGAGAAGGAATGGGAAATTGATGTCATCAGACAGCAGTGGGAGAGGGAGAGGGAGAGAGAGAGAGAGAGCATATAAAACGTAAAGGGAAGGAAGGAAAGACTTGCCAGCAGAAAACTTGCGCTTCACAAGAGAGAGCCGATAGCCAGGTCCAACAAGTTCTAGCCCAAGGCCAGATAGAGTGCTTCCATCACAGGCAAATTGGCAAGCAAGGACACCAGGTGAACCTGGGCCATGTGAAAGGTCAAAACGGGCCCTCAGGCTCCCCACACCTCCTTCTTCACTTAGGGCTGACAGTTCTGACAAACGCCACAAGCCTCGGTAGCTGTTGGATAACCTGTCGCAATTGCAAACAACATGAATGAAAGCTTAATCATTCTCACTCTCACAGTCTGCTGTTTTCATTACAATGCAGAATGGTGAGCAAGAAGAAATGAGGTTCTCTATGAAAGACAGGAATGGCTGCCTATATGTAATCATGAAGCTTCCATTAATGTTTGTAAGAATACTACTGCTTCAGACTTCACCAAATTTTTCATCACAGCTCATAAGAGTGATAAACTCTTCATTTTTATGTTTTTGAAATATGCTAACAATTTCATTATAGAGCAAGTCTGAAATTCATAAACAATAATACAGGAGCAATGAAAGTTGAAGGAAGACTATTCTTCAAGCCAATCAAAAGCCATTCCATTCACATTTTCCCTATGTATTCACTGGTGTTTGCCTTCCCTCCCCAAAGACTCTTCTGAGCAGGCTTGCAATAGGATAATAGAAAACCATTCATGTAATTTTGTTCTTTGACCTGTTGCTTGACCCTGGTTGGCCTGTAATCACACCTATCTCTTGATCTCTATTTCCAGGAGACAGTTCATTTAATGACCTGAATATATCAATAAGAAACACCTATGTGCACAATTCCAATAGGCTCATGGCTCAAATTGCAATGAGCTTCACCAGGACTTTATATACACCATTCCAAAAAAGAAATCCCTGAATGCCTCAGAAGTAGCCAATAGGACAGACCCTTCCATTTTCCTTTGATTGCCCAGTCGAAAGTCCTGCATGAGCCATCATGCTGTATATGGTATACTGAATGAAAAGAGACAAAGAGTGCTTTACAATGACATAAAATTAACCATAATCATGGCATGAAATTTTGGGAAATGAATGGAAAAAGAAGAGACTATTTTCACTTAAGAAGCTTAGGAGAGCACTGTTTTTCCTTTGGAATAGGATATTCTGAAGAAAACAGTAAAACCTACATCAGATCCATTCATCCTGAACTGCGTCAACTTCATAATGAGTTGTAATTCAAATCCACTGCAGTGGATATATTACACACTAGAATCCCATTTGCAAAAATATATGTGGAAAAGATTCAGTGCATGCTATGCAAGGTCTGAATGGTATCATGGGTGCATTGTTGCAATCATCCCATCACCACTTTTTTCCTTCAGGTCTTTGGTTTCTTCACAACTCATGACACTACTTCCTATGGAGTACTGGTCCTTTGACATGAGTGAAACTGCAATTGGATACATACCACTGTCCCTGGGGCTTTGAATGCATGGTAGTGACACCTCCATCCACAGTGGCAGAGACAGCCAAGTTGAGAAGGGAGCAAGGAGTAGCCAATGCTATCCCATTGTACTTGTAATCTATCCTCAGATCCGTATGTGATGGTTCACACTTCCAATATGCTACCATATGAAAAGGAGCACTGCTTGCTCCTGGCTTCGCCTTCAGCTGCATGGGCATGCACAAGAGACACAAGTCTTTATACTGAAACCAATAGTGAGAATATATCAACACCATAACTACCTCATAGACTTATGAACAACATAAGAAAAGACCATCTCAAACAGTAATGCCTTACCATGACTACTAGGAAGACATTTAAGGAAACCAAAGGAAAAAATTGTTACAGGGCATATCACCACAGATAATTTTTTCATGTTCTCCATCAAAGCAGCACTACCTAGCAGTTCATGCATTTTAGCTCTCTCCCTCATTCTCACAAACTAAACTTCTATTATTTCCTGATTTTCATCATGTCTGAGTCAGAATAAACTCCTGCACCATCATTCCATAGATGGAGGAATTTTTCCCTTTCTTTTGCAAGAGTAAAATAGTAACTAAAGCATTGATAACCTTCAGCACAGAGTGTAGCTGCATGGACTTGTTCTCTCTGCCAAAACTTTCATATGAGTGGTTGGCCTGCTACAGCCTTCAGTAATTCTTTCTTAAGAGTCTGGATCCACTGTCCAATATAGTCCCCTACACCTAGCTTGCAACTGATTTCAAAGACTTTACTCCCCAGTGCTCCTAAATGCTATAATCTACAACTCAAGAACAATGTGTAGGCTACTAGTTTGAAGAAAAATAAGGCTCATGATATGTAAAAAAAAAATATCAATATGCTTCAATAGGCCGACAAAAAACGTTCGTAGTTCTATACAGTTTTAAATTGACAAGAGGGAGTTTTTTTCTGAATCACATCACTTTTTTCCATTATTGCTTGATACTCAGAAGACAGAATGAGAGAAATTCAAAGAACAGAGAAGAAAGTCAAAATATAGATGGAAAATGACACTGACCTTATATCTAAGGATGCCACAGTTAAAGTAGGCAGCTCCAGGGTTTTCCTCTGCCTGTTTCTTCAACAGAGTGACCAGGTTCCCCATCTGGAACTTGTATACATGACTCTCCAGCTCACTCTGGCTTCTGCAACAAAAACTTTGGGCTCCATCTCTTTCCAAAAAGCTAATAAAGCAAATATCCACCATGGTATACTCACAGGACAAGGAGATGCTTATTGGGGACAACTTGGTCAATGTTGTTGGTCTGAGAAAGACGGAAGACTAGTGGAGCAGGCATGGGATTCGATGTGAAGACACTGACAATACCAGATGGGAAAGACATGACTAGTTCCCCTTGTTGTTGCACCAAGCACCTGAAATCAATCAACATTGTCCATATCTCAATGAGGAAAGAAAGGGATTTATTGGGGTTACAGAAGCAATGGAATAAGCCATGAACCTCACAAACTCCAAGGGAAATCACTTGGATCCCAATACAGATTTTAAAATATTAAAATTTTATGGTGTTGCATAGTGGAAAGGTTCTCCAAAAAGCTGGTCAAAAACAGTATGGGCTCTCACAACTACCCAACAAGCTCTCACAACTTATATGAAGTTATAATATGAAGTTATAATATGAAGAATAAAGACTTGTAAACACTTATCAATAAAACCTCCCTAGAAGTAGAAAGAGCAAGAACTACACTCGACTTCTTAAAGAAGAGCTAAATTACAGATGAATTGATTATATCCTCTTTGGGTGAGCCTTGGCAACTGCCAATCATGGTAGTTGTACCTGGTTTGATACACTGTTTCAAGACTGCAGTCAGAGAAAGATAATCCTTCAAAAATTTTGCAAGTTTGCATTGTCTGTCAATATCAACATTACTTTCAGTGCAATGAATTTGGGTTTTCTTGCATTTGTGAGGAAGAAACCAGGACTTGTCTACTACCACCAAAATGCAACTGCCACCAATTTGAATTGTGGTTCCCTCTAGTCATGCCTGTAACAGGCTATGGACATTTTTCCAGTAGACTTTATTAAGGCAATCATTTAAACAGTCTTACTTCTTTGAATAAGGCTGAAGTAGGGTAAAATCCACACGGGCAAGACCTTCAGGATTAGCTAGTTGCTTGCTTTCAGAGTACAAAAAATTTGTTTCTCCTTGACTTTTTTTTCTTCAATAATCTGGATTCTTGCATCATAACATGAGTTCTAGTCCAACCATCACTTACTGAGGTTTGAGAGACCAGCAACAGATGCAGTTCACAAAACTTACAATAATCAGATTCTGATACTTTAACCTTTATTGGATGGATCTAAATCTCCCGCGTAAGCGCTGACAGCCTGATATTTTCTATGAAGCTTGTAAACACTCACTGAGCAATTATTCACTTAATATTAGGGCTGTCACGATTGATCGATGCATCAATACCACTATCGATAGTTGGAGATATTGATAGTTTTTTCGACCATCGCGATGCATTGGCAAAGTATTTTAAATGGGAAATGTCCCATTGGATTGTGGTGAGTACAGTACAATACAGTCCGTCCAGGCGGGGAAAGGAAGAAGCGGCATGATCAACACGGGCTTGCGATTTATTATCACAATCAAATTCCGAAAATGCCGGGACTGACTATAAGAAAGACGGGAAGGGAAAAAAAGTCAGATCGGAGACAGGAAGTGGGAAAGGAGAGGGGGGAAGACCGATATTATTTTTTTCTTTTCTGTTTCTGTCTTCGGCTCGATCTCATCAGGTGCATGCTGCGGAAGTGGACTGTTCTTATACTGCCTTGATTTCGAAACCTATATTGGTTAATCCCCTCTCAATATTCCTGTCTATCACTTTAGTACACAGGCTTAACTTTCTTAATTTTTAACTTGCCCTGGGGCATTTATCTCTACTTAAAGTGAACTCAAAGTGAATTTTTTTACATGGACGTTGCTCATTCTAGGGCTGTACTGATGTTTCGGCAACTGCTGGTATGGCATCAGCAGGTTTCCTATCTGGCGATGCCAATGTCCAAAGAAAAAAATTGGGCTGTCCTGATGCATCCATCAATGAATGGATGTCATCTTTGATAGTTGGAGGCATGGTAGGTTTCATTACTGTTTGCGAAGGTCACACATTCCCCCTGCAACCCCGATCACAAGCGTGAGATAATAGAAGCTAGATAGAGGTCTGCGCCCCGATCGCGGCGAGAAAAGATGGAATACTCTACTCTGGCGGCTTCCCCCCCCCCGATGCATCGATACACTATCGATAGTTCAGATCGATTCATCGATGTTTTGAAAACTGCTATCATGACAGCTCTACTTAATATCAGAGCATTTCTCCAAAAAGTTGCAAAACAGCATTTGTACCTTTAGGCCATGGAAAAATGCATTCTGTGGCACAGCAGTTGTGACATTTGTCCAATAAAGGTTTAAAAAAAGTAAAGACCAGGAGCAAATGTACTTAGTCTATTGACCATACCACCATTTCAGGAAGCCAATGCAATACACACTCTTCTAGGTTTTTTACAAAGACTAGGATGATTCTCTCTTATAAGTAGAGAATATTATTTTGACATTTATGCAGGGCTACCTGGAATGCTGGGGAGAAGCTGTTGTTCCTCATTATTTGCTTCAAGCAAGTCCCCAGCCCTAATCCCTACAGTTGTGAAGGCCATATTAACACATGAATGCTTAAGTTTTAAATGCTCAGTCAACCTCTGCTTGCCATGAAAGGCAGAAGAGGTTCACCATGCCAAACACACTGTATGGCATGAATGGCAGCAAAAGTGTTAAGGAGGCTCTGAAACCCTTCCTTGTTCAGATACAAATCAGCCTTTGAAATTCTTTATTTCATGTTCATTTTAGTAATGAATTTAAAATATTTTTATTGATCAATGTCCCACCATATGCTGATGAAACTGATGTCGTGTGTCATAGATTTGCCATAAATGGTCTATCCTGTCTCAAGAATCAGACATTTGCATTCACAAATCCAAGAGGATTTTTGAGTTGAAGTGGGATATTCAATTAACAACTCAGAAGGCTCAGACTTCTTACCCTCTAGCTTAGCCATTCCATGGCACCTTGAACAGGCTACAAGAGCCAATGTCTCCTTAGCCAAGCATCACCAGTTCAATGGATTCAATGATCTCAGCTTAGATCTTGATCTTGCCTTGATATGATCAAGATGAAGCAAAGTTGGCTGAGCAACTTCAAGCAGTACCAGAAACAACTCAGAAGAGCAAGCAAAAGGGGAAAAGCCACAAACAGAGTGATTGTCATGTCCTGAACTAATGTTTCAGCTGCACATGCTACAGCCTTCTCACTTGCCATGGCACCTTACTTTTGCATGCTCTAGTTCTGATTGCAAGAGCCTGAATTCCCTTGCATTCAATGATTCATATCTCAAGGGAAGGGTAGGCTCATGTTCTCTTGTTACAAAAGGACAAAAACCCAAGCTTTTTCTGCCTTTGCTTTCTTGCTGTGGCAGCTAACATAGAAATTACCTGTATTGGGAAGCTCTGATAACCAATCTCAAGATCATTACAGATACAAAATAAATAGTTATATGCAATACAGACTATGGGAGATGCAGAAGCAAAACATTCTCAAAGTCCAATGTCACCCTTGATAGATATTTCTGCTGGTTTATATGCTGACACCCTGGAAGAGAACATCTATACAAGCAGTAGAGACACAGGGATCTCCAATCTATAGTGTCTACAATACATACACTTTCCCAATGCAGTCTTTACACTGCCTCTTGGAGATACATTTCTCAGGGAAGTATAAATGATAACAGCACATTCACTTATTCTTGCCTAATGGGGCTATCCCATGAATGCAAGTAGGCCTGTAATATGCAGCAAGAGGCATAACCCCTAGTTACAGGGCTGGCCCTAACTATTTCAGTACATAGTGCAAAGAGACTCCCAATGCCACCCCCCCACTCTCAGATGGGTCAATTCCCAGCATCCAAAACAACGGCAAAACAGAAGGCATTTCCATTTTCTGAAATAAAACTGATAGTGGCATCCATTATTGCTCCATTCATTCTGGCACATTTTGGCACCCCTGGTGAATTTGCACCATGTAGGGGTACATGTGGCTCATGTCTGAGGTTGACCCTGCCTAATTATGACTACAACACCTCAAAGAGTGATAAACTCATTGACTCTTCTTGTAAAATAAATTAATCTAAAAAATAAAACAACAGCATATATATTTTTGCAAAGCTGCTGCAAACCCAGAGTGAAAAGCCAAAAACTGACTTGGACTCATCTGTCCCTCGGAACTTGGCATGGACTAGTTCCTGGAAGGCCACGGCAAGGGGAATGGTGTCAGACATGCCAATGGTTAGAGGAGAAGGGCCTCGAGAGGAGGTGCTTGTCACAGGGATGATAGCATTCCCAGATCCCAGACTTCCTGTGCTCTCAGCACGGGAAATTCCAGTCAGAGGACTCACCCGCCCTCGTGTTGTCCCAAAGCCCTGCATCTATACCAAGTAAAACAAAACACTTACTCTTGGGAACAATAAACATACTGGCACCTGTCTCAAAAAACTTACTTCAGCCTTGCGGGAGGGAGGTCGAGGGATGGCAATGGAGGACGTTGGAGTATCACTGCGAATTGCAACTGATCCTTGGCCAACCTTTGGAGGTAATGACGGAGGAATGTCCGTAGAATTGCTGAATGCATCACTCATTCCACCTACAATGAAAATCTTAGTTGATCTGAATCCACAGAGAAGGCCATTCAAACAAACCCCCCCCCCCCCCCCCCCCCCCCCCCCCCCACTCAGGCACAAATACTTCCACACCTTCAGGTTCCCCCCACAGCAAATATCAGGGGTGGTCAAACCATGGCTACCAGGCAGTTCAAGTGTGGCTCATGGTGAAATGCTCTAAACTCTAGGGTCTAAACTTGCATTCATATCCAGACATTCATATGAAAATTTTCTCATGTGGCTTGCAAAGTCAGGAAGTTAGGCCACCCCTGGCATTTATGGCAGTTGTGGAAAATTTGGTTACATTGTGCTCACTCAGTTTTCAGGTTAAGGACATGAACAACTTTGAACTAAGAATTCAATATAATACAAATATAGCTCAAGCCAAGACTCAGACCATGAGAGATGCTTAAAGAATGGTCCATGCCAGTCCTTCCATTGGTGGGGCTGTGGATGGAACCTGAAGGTGTGGAAGTATTTGTGCCTGATTGTCCCAAACCAGATGAGAAGAAGCTAAGGTCCAGTGATGAGAGATTCCCTTGCTTGGAACTACAATAAGGCACATGATCAATCAAGTAGTAAGTACCACATGGAAACTGCAAGAAAAATTTGTACAGACGGCTACTCACCTAACGACGGAGGTACTACGCCTCACTGAAGAGTGATCGTCAATGCTGTCCCGTTTCCGACTGAAGGTACTCTTCCCAACCCAGCAAAAAATCAACAATCATGACACAGATAAGCATACTGAAATTCAAACTGCACACAACATATCCTAGACCTGCACACTGGACCTATACATCTTGATGATGGTCCAACTCCCTATTCTTCATGAATATGCAAGCATATAAATCATAGTCAGGCTATTACAACTGGGTAGCATGATCAGGTCACACTGAGATTTTCATAACCAGCTAATCTAAAAATCAAGCATCCAGATTGTATGTTCTCATCATATCACTAGTCTTTTCTTTGACTTTTAGAGGTTGCAGTTGTTTTGGCAAGAAGATGGAATTACACAGCAAGTACAACATAAATGTGGATGAATTTATATTCTTCCTACTAAATGAATCTTGAGAATGCACATATGAAGTGCAGTTATAAGAAAACTGAATGAACATAAGATACACTTTCACCTGGATCATGTTGGGACACATTTATGCAATCTAAATTGCAAAGACTTGTAGTGACTCAATGTTTGCAAAGGATCACCATAATATATGTTGCATATATGGCAAAAGTTTCAATATACAACATAGTGTTAGTGCTGCTTCCCCTGATAGAACTTCAATGCTATGTATTGGGTCATCCCATAAGTAATTGGTTTTTTTTTCTAGATTTTTAAATTAAAAATAAAACAATTTTTCGACAAACTTTAAGCAATTATATATTTTCCCTCATTCTCTACAACCTTTTTCCATCTTTCTGGTAAACTTTCTATGCCCTTCTTGTAAAATTCCCTTGGCTTGGACTAAAAAAACTCCTCCAATACAGTTCTGACATCATCTATGGTAGCCATCTGCATTGCCTTTTCTATACTTGTACAGCATAATATGCAAAATATGTTCTTTTGTCACTTTCATTTTAAACTCTCTGAAAAGACAGAATAATCGATGTACACTTATCAAAATTTGATATGAAAATGAAGACAAGTTAGTATCAAGTCAGTATTTATTTCAAATGCATACCAACATACCATTACCAGTTGTTATTGGTTTATTGCAAGCTTCTCAGAAAAACCGCATTACTTATGGGATGACCCAATACCTTCAACCCCCTTCCTTCAAATAAATGACCCCTCTGAACTATCATCCATCTTCATCTAAACATTAACTACTGAAGGTGTGAGAAACATGCTGAAAAGGAAAAAGGAAACATTAACAATTCAAACATTTCAGAGGGCTATAACTGCACTGGCTGAATACACTAATTTAGAAAATATGCAAAGATAAAATTAATTTTCTGGCTCAATTTTTATTAGGCCGGAGCATTGGTGTCCAATAGGTTTTCGATGCATGCCAAACTTGTGGTGATCAGGTCACCATATTCACCACATGATACAAAATATATGCAATATTAATAAAAAGAAAGCACAATCTTTTGAAAGAAGGTTTGAGGTCATCATCCATTCGCCACATGTCAGTGGCCGATTCACCATATGCGGTGAGGGGCAAACGTATTGGGCACCATGGGGCTAGAGCCCCAAAGAATCTCAACATTGCTATTCATTAACCTTTATAGTACTAGAGTTGATTAGGTCAATGCAACAAATTTTATTTTAAAAGTGCCAAAGTCAAAGAGCTGGCAATGAAAGGAATAATAAATGTATTTCACCAGAGCACTTGATCATGTTTATCCTCTTACTTTAACTCATCTGGTACCAGCTCTTCAACTCTGGCATTTTAAAACTAAATGTTCAACATTGATTTAATTGACTCTGGGACTAAGAGAATTGTCAGCCACTTCCACCACTTCAACACTAGATTTCAAACCATCAACTCATTAATAGTACACTTGCAAGCAAATATTTTGAACCTGTGAGGGAGGAAGCACAATGCTGCACAGTATGCACAACAGTTTGATTCTGCTGAAAAATTGCAAAAATGCATTGATGTTGCATGCAAAATTGTTGCCACAACAAACCATCTACTCAAGAATGGTCAACAGTAACTATAATTGACTACCCAAATACAAGGCACATGGAACAGATAATTTAAAACACTGTTGAATGCCAAATTTTTGGTTTCAGACATATCAAGGGTGCATTGAGCCACCCCAGTTGGGACCTTTTGCAAGAGACAGAATTTGACTCCAATAATGGGGAATTCAGTTATAAAGAATTGGAGCTTTTTAGGAGAATTTTCAGATTAAATCCAGGTGATCTCTACTCTGCTAAATATAAAGCACTCAAATGTGTAAGTACAAGCAAGACACGTTGAGAAGCAAATTCCTTTTGGTATTTCCTGGAAGGGAAAGAAGCTGGTGGTTTTTGGCTATTTAATATCCACAAAATATAGGAATGAGGATTTAAAAACAAAGGAGATTCCAGAGCAGAAGCAACAATATACAATCGATACAATTGATGACTGATGGAAATCATTTTGATACAGCCCTGATACAAGCTCTGAAAGCTTACTTGACTCCATCTCCTTTTTCTGCAACTGCCTCATCAAAATGCTATCCATTTATATAATATGCTACCCATACAGAGTAACAAATATGCCAAGTGAAAACACCATATGCCTGACAACAGTCGTCAGGAGCGGGCGAGATTTCTAGGCGAGATTGGTTGAAAGATATTATATTTGTCTTTCTACACATTACTACTGGACCAATTCAAATTTGGAAATTTAGCAAGAACCAGCAGTTCTGTGTTTCTAGGACCCCCAGGGATCTGCAAACACTTTATTCAGGGTTTGCACCTGAGCCTGGACATTCTTCACTGAAGAAGAGACATCCTTACTTCCACAATTCATTCTCCTCCTGGAAATGCTTTTTTCTATACAAATCACAACAGATTTGTCTCAATCACAAGTTTTTCTTCCATTAGTGAGAATGATTCCTGAGTCATGCCAGGCAAGATTTTATTAATCCTTCTCACATGAAACCTGCTAAAATGAATGCTTATAGGACTAACAGACAAGAACTGATTTGCATAAACTCTCAGATGGATTTCTCTTGCTTTTACCCAATCAAATCCCTACAAGGGATTTTAGGGCCTACTGCAACACATATTGGTGGCACATTCTATTACTCCCTTTTTAGTTATATACCTATCAGACTTTGCTTCTCTATCACAGTTCTGCTTTTCGATAGAACAGGATAGTGATCACTACATTACTATCCAATTATCTTATATGGTAAAATGGGTGGTTTTCGCGCGATGAGGGGGATTTCGCGGAATGCTCATTTCTCGCACATCCCCCAACGAGAGGCCTATAGTTGACGACGAAGCTATATCCAATGAGGACACAGGAGATTCCAAGTACGCGCACGTGAAACTTCCACCTGCTTACGCTCACGCCTGTCATGGGCAGGGCTGTTTGCGCGATAGGCTACCTCCGTTCCTTAAGATACGACCCGTTTCGCAGGAAAATTGAGATCGCTTTGAAACCTGGCATGTACCTTTCTATAAGGGATAGAGTAGTGCCCTCATAGGATAATGTTTAAGGAGAACGTGACTTCAAAATAAACTAAACAAACACTTATTTCATCCGGTCCTTGTAGAAGAAAGGTGGTGCGCGAAAAACCCCTACAGAAAAATCCTTTTTTGCTATTTTCGCGACCATGCGCGAAAACCAAATGTTCATATATGGGGATTTCGCGCTGTTGAAGAATACTATATTCAATTCTTGTTACAGTACAATGAATATATCCTTTGTTGCAAATAGAAGTGACAAAATGAGAAAATTTTCAGCATTTTTTGTTACGAATCTGAAAAATATTCGTTTTCTTTACTTCCTCTCAAATGTACAGCTCAATTACGGAAAGAATGGCTACCCAACCACAATAAAAGTTATATTCCTATGTAATCTTGAGAAAAAAGATAATAATTCGTTTTTTTGCAGTGATATAATTCTTCTCATGAGAAAACTTTTCTCAAATGAATTTTCTTTCGACGTTGCTAGTAGTAATACGCATTAACCCATTGATAAATGGCTAAAGTAAAGATTGCCCAGCCCATAGTCGTTAAACTGGCAAGAATAAAGGAGCAAAGGCGACAGAAGCACCTCAAAGAACAGAGGAAAGGGGACGGAGAAACTATCTCAAGGCAGAACAATGCAATGAGGAGACCATAAGTCTGAAAGGGTAAAAATGGAGAGAGGAAGGTGGAACGACGTTCTCGTAGAAATCAAGAAATGGCTGATTGATTTAAGATGCTACTTCGAAGAGGAAGATGCTCTTAACCTTCTTATTGATGAGGACGCATCACGTGTCTTCAACTTTGACGAAACAGGGTTTGGGCTACAAGGCAGCAGTGGTCTGTCCTAAGTTTTTTTGCAGGAAAGGGATAAAAAATACAGTCCAAAGGAAAGTTTCTGATGGTAAAAGCACCATTACAGTGCTTATCGGCGCTTGAGCGGATGGATACTTTTTACCACCAATTATAATGGTAAAGGCTCGAAGTTTACCAGATTACAAATGCTAGATTAGGCTGGATTTTGAAACGGATGAGTTTTGAATCTGACGTTCATCGTCTGGATGTATGATAGAACGTGCTATTTTTCCAATGCACGAGAGACGTTTGCATTCCACACGTGGAAAAAAAGCGTCTGAAAACGCCTGTCTTTTTATATCAGGATGGACACTGGACTCACACTACCATTGAGCTGCGGAAATTCTGCATTAATGAAGATACTAAATTGTACGCGTTGCTCATGCAAGCCACATCCTCCAGCTGCATGAAAGGCACCCTCAGGTTGACTTCACCAAAACAAGCTTTCTGATGGTTTTTCTTTGGGTTTTTGGAAGGAAGTCCGAGAACGAGATCATCTGGCAAATTTAGGCTTCAGAAAGTCTGGACTCACTGAAGATCAGATCAACATTTGTTATTGTGCATGCGACAGTCGTGAGGGCCAATAGCGGGTGATCGCTTCTTCAGCTTCAAAACGTATTTCTTCCAGGAACTTAGTGGCGTTTTCTACCTGAGAAACAATTGCTATTTTCTGCATCTTTTTTTTTTTTTTTTACAGAGGACGAAGTTTTGCACATTTAATCAATAACTTTCTTTCTCCCGTAGTGGCACAACAATATTCTTTTTTCCAGTTCTGCTATATATGCACATTTTCACGATAGGAACCATATTGAGAAAGCTGTGGTCTGGGTTTAAAGAGGAACAATGATTTTTCAGTTTTTAATATGTGAATTTACCTTTCTTTCCTTATATCGCTCTCCTTTGTGATTTAATCTTGTTATGGAGCTCGAAGTCAATTAGTGCTAGTTAAGCTCGGTTTTGACATTTTCATCACAAAAAGGGCGAAAATTTTAACGAAATCAGGGCTTCTGAACTCCAGATGTTTTTCTTTTAATTTACCACTGCCAACTTTGGACTCATTTTCATGCGCAACTATTCATTATGATGGTGGAGGGATACAATCTCAAAAAAAATGAAAACTGTCATTCTACCGTACATCCAGGAGGACCTCATGGATGTAATGAACAAGCCAGGTCATTTCAAGGCATAATGCGCGAAAATGGCATTTGTCTCGCGCGATTATCACCGAGGCAACCGCGAAATCAGCCCTTCGCTACCTCACCTAAATTTCGCTTGTCTCCTTTTCTGAATGTTATTGTAGCGACATTAAATTTACAATGAATTGATAGCCAATTTGGCACACTACAAAATGAGGTCTTTCGCTCAAGTCTCCGATGGAGGATAAAATCGTCATGGGATGCGGAAGTTCAAAATACAAAGATAGTGCGCGAAAACCACCCCTTTTACCATATGCTCCCTTAGTGAGTAAGATTTCCTTGCTCCCCCCACCCTCACCAGACAAAGCAACAGTATGCTGTGAATCACAGTTACTTGCAAATCAATGTGCCAGCAAGCTTTGAGGGAGAAATACTTTTCATGTCTTCAACCTTCAGTTTTAAAAAGCAGAATTTCTCAGCTTAGGTGCTAAAAATAATGGAATATCATAATCCCAAGAACAGATATATTTAAAAAAAAAAAGCATAAAATGAATAGTGATAATAAGCTGTTCTCATTGAACATTAGGAGTACCATCCCTTGAATGAGCTCATGAGCTTAAACTCATCAGTTTAAGAGCTGCCCTGATGCATGCTACAGAATAATGGAGGGAGATCCCTGTCTGATGAACTGTAATTGGGGGTGGAGCCTGAACCAATCGGGCACTCCTCTTTCTATACATTTGAATATTAAGGATATCAACTGCCATGTATCCACCACACATCCTGCCTTGAAAGCCAACAATAAAAATAAAATGAAACCTTAAATGAAGCAGTATCACCACATTTGGGCATGTTTCTCTTGCCTGAGTATGATCAAAAGCAGAAAAACAGCAAAAAATATTAGAATCTCCAGCCATCTTTAGAAGTGCATTTTTGCTCTCATATCTAGTTTTGCTAACATACACCATCTCAGTTGTTAATTTAATGTTTCCATTCTGATGATGGGGTATAAGTTACCCCAAACTCATCTAGGCTGAATCCTGATGGAGTAAGAAATTAGGAAAAAAGGGGAGCCCTGAATCTAGGTAAGTTTGAAAACTGCTGTCTTTGTATTTCAATGGATAGTCCTAGGCCTTCCATGACCAGAAACATAAAGACAGCCTCAAGAGATGAACCTGAATGAGGGTTCCTAACAATAGTCAGCCTGATTATTATGCTTACTCTAGCCACAGGAAAGGGAGCAGAGAGTTTTGAGACTACAGGAACTCCATGATAACCCCACCTATTTTAAACAAATCTCTGGCTTTTCCAAAAAACCTGAGTGGTGGAGCAAGGAAAGGAGCAAGGCGAGCAAGGAAAGGAGAAGGTGTTTGCCAGAACTGATCCCAAGCCCAAAGACTCTGGCTCTGCTTGGTTCCTGTCTCACACATTCCATACCATATTGTGTCTCATTCCACTTCTTGCTAGAAAACATATTCTATCATAGGAGGGTCGCATGGATATCTGCCACAAATGGGGCTTAGAATTCTGAGTGATATTCTCTTTCCCAGCTGGGAATAACCCACTGCTGCTTTTTTTTGGTTTGGAATGGTATAGTTAAAAAGTAAGATAAAAGTTGGGTACAGGTATTATGAGAGGACTAACAATAGTCCCTAATACTCAGCATGAAAACTGTATGCCTGGCAAACATAACATGCATTTTCACAATATAGGTACTCAAGTGTCACAGCCATGGCATCACATGCATACAAGGGCCAGGATGATGGGAGGGGGGGGGAATGCATATCTTGGCAAACAGTCAACACCAATACAGTCACTGAATATGCAAGGCATGATGACCCTCTATGCATATCACATGATTTGCACCATGTGAAAAGCTTAATCCCAATTGAAGATCATGCAGCCTAAAAGGGCTAATCTGACTGCAAGGTTTGAGTATTTCCATGACATTACGGGGATTTGCTTATACAGGGTGGTCCAAAAAATCAAGGACCCCAAGGCTATCAATGAAATTGACAATACCACTGGATGAAATCAACTTTTATTACAGGTGAAACTCTACTCAAGCTGTGCTTCATGTCAAAAAATCTTAATTTAGTTTGAGCAATAAATCTCCAATTACAGAAAATTTTCAAAGTGGCTCCCATCTCAATGCACATCACAATTCTCCATCTGAACAGATCGATTGCTCTGTTTATTTCAGCTTGATCCAGGAATTGCCAAGCTTCATTCACAGGCTCAATGAGGTGGTTTTCATCCAAAATGGCCTTGGTATACACATTACCACATTCTTTCCTTACATAATAAACCACTGGTCAGAAACGCAATTGTCCAAGTAACTCTGACTTCATGCGACCTAACATGTGGCCCCCAAATTCACTTGACCTCAATTCTGTGCATTATAATGTAAAGAAAGATTGTGTAAACACATGTATACTGAGGCCATTCAGGATGAAAACCACCTCATCAAGCTTGTTAATGAAGCTTGGCAATTCCTGGATCAAGCCGAAATAAATAGAGCAATCGATCTGTTCAGATGGAGAATTGTGATGTGCATTGATTGAGATGGGGGCCACTTTGAAAATTTTCTTTAATTGGAGATTTATTGCTCAAACTAAATTAAGATTTTTTGACATGAAGCACAGGTCGAGTAGAGTTTCACCTGTAATAAAAGTTGATTTCATCCAGTGGTATTGTCAATTTCATTGACAATACCACTGGATACCATTGGGGCTCCAAGATTTTTTGGACCACCCTGTATATCATGCTAAGCTCAACAGTACATCAATTTCATAGCTAAGCTAGTGATTCTCACAAGGTCTTCGTAAATTCACAATGCAGTTTGTAAGCTTCACAACAAAATGAGGCATAAGGTTTGCACATACTAATGTGCCTATCCTACAAGGACTCTTTATGAAGGGCATTTAACACACTATTCCATGAAAAAACTGAGTGCTCTCCCTGAGCTTGAGTGGATTTTGCCCTCTTTCTCCTCATTCAGTGCTCAAAATTCTGCCAACCAATCATTATGATTTCCTTTTGGTTGGAAGGCTTCTTAGTTCCCCTTGAATTAGGATATAAAACATGACAACTCATGTTTAGGAGTTTTGACAGGATGATTGAGGAAAGACAGTGAGGACCACCCCATCAGCTACCTCTCCATTGCTCAGTTTTTTTTTGGATTGGTGTAAAAACACAAGGCAAAAGCATTGGATGGCACTGGATAGCAAAGAGGATACTGATACTCAATTCACAAAAATCATTCTAAGTTGATTTTAAAATCTCATGACTCCATAAGTCTTGCCTCTGTCTGAGCTTTACTAAAGCCATATTGGAGTATGGCACAGTACAAGATCAACTACATGCAAGGTGATACAACCTCAAGAACTGCTGTCATTATGTAATGGTTAGGCATAAAAGGCATGTGGCTGGTGATTAGAGGGAGCAAAACCTGCCATAGTTATTGCATCATCTATGGGTTAGTCACACGAGACTTTGAGATGCAATAATAAATTTTTGTTTACGTATCTGAGGAGACTAACAGTGTCCTTCGGCCTTAGTTCCTGGATGACCAAAGCTGGAACGGCCAAAGAGCTCCGTCGTTGATATGTGTACACTTGAGGCTAGTAATACCCAGTGAGAAATGCACTTTAACACCATCAAAAGACTCAGTACATACTCAATATATAGTAAAGACTCAATATAGTGAACTTCCAAATACAGTACTTCAGCTTAGTTACCAATAAAAGAATACATAAAAATGCAAGCATACCATGTTGATGCCAACAGGAGATAGGGTAATGTTCTCAATATTGGCCTTCAGTTCTTCAACAGAAGCAGGTTCTGGGGCAGATCCATTGGTAACAGGCTTAATTTCTATATGCAATTTCTCTGGCATCCTCTCACCATCATCTGATTTGGCAAACAGATCATTCTAAAGCATAGATCTTACTGGAATGGCAAAGAAACTAAGCCTTCATATTCTTAACCCTTTTGCACTCAGCCTATTTTCCAAGTACCTGGCCTAAAACACTCTCTGGTCCGGAACTACATCACATTATGTAAAACAATGCATACATACCTTTTGCAGTTAGCACCTGTGTTTAGGGAAGCATTTTGAGCCATTTATGTAACTAAAAGAGCATGATTTAGACGGAGCCGATGGATCGGCGCACTGAGCGTATAAGGGTTAATCTTCCACCTTAATCCATTCACATCTACATGGATTTTGGTATGTGCTTACATTCTCAGTCATAATCACCACAAGCATACTGGTATGCATTCAAAACTTGCATGTGAAACATTTAAAGGAACCACAAAGAACTACTTGATGGGACTCATGAACATGATCATTGTGTACCTGAGAGTTTTCTTAAGAATTTGATACCAAATATGTTAGACTAGCCTTAGCTGTCTGTGAAATATAGTAATTTTTGTATTGTAGTGTTGATAAGCTTCGTTTCACGAGGACCTTGCAGGATTTCAAGAAGCTTTAACAAGCTCCACTTCCAAATTTTAACAATGATTCACTATTGTAAAAAAATTGAAACCTATTTGATTTGAAAACATGCCCTCAATAACAAATTTATTCTGATATAGTTGTGAAAGTTTGCAACCAATGTGTGTTAAGTACATGCTTGGCCCGAATATATCACAGGTAAGTCCACTGGATTGTCCCTCCTTTACCCCAACTAATACTAATTACTGCCTTTCCCATACAGAGTGGTACAAAACCTCATCCCCTTTACAGCCAAGAAAAGGGCAACTAATGCAAAACCATGTCCTGTGATTCTCTTTGACAATGGCATTTCATTCCTTTGCTATTTGAAAAACATGTCAGACATTCAGGAAATGATCCATAAGACACCTTGCTTCAGAGCACTAGTCACATAAGACTTATGTAAACCTATCCTACCCAAATTAAATCAATGCTGTCCTGTCTGCTCATGGTGGAAATACAAATAAGGGAAATCAATCCTGTTTTGCAATTCCTAATTTGTTTTTTTATTTATTTAGTAGATGGTAAATTTATAAATTTATACATAATGCATAATGCAATGTTTTTATTATATGATTTGTTCATCATAAATGTGGATATGGAGTTTACATCTTGAAAGCTATCAGCCACAATGGCACCCTTCACAAATGTGGTGCAAGTAAAAATGCACTAGCCAGTTGTTCTGTTTCCATTTCATATAAGCAAAATTCTCCTTTGAATCATGAACAGGCAGCATTATTTCCTCACTAATTGTCATACAACAAGGGCTTTAACTAGGGGATAGTCATAAGGCAGATGGAATTCTCAGTGCAGTAGAACACACCTATGTGATACGCATGCACAATCAAAAGATGCATTTACAAAACTTGACATCTTACCAAGGGCTAACCCATTTCATTCCGAGCTCTTGCAACTCGAGGTTCCTACTTCACTCACCACAACACCCATAACGCTACATTGTTGAATTTGTACCCCCTATAGGAGAACTTTCATTGATAACAGGTAGTGACACCTTACACCTGATGAAGTGGAACCTCTGGAAATTTGTGTTACCTCCAATCTCCACAAACTCTATCTGGAGACAGTATATATCAGTATCTTTTCGAACAAACAAATGCACTCAGGCTCAATGTAGTGGCTTTCAATTACTCTGCATTGCTTTCAACTGCTTCAGTATCAAAAGGGTATTCAATTTCTTTCATTGTAGTTCAACAGAAGAATGAGAAGTAATGGCCATAGATGTCTTGGGAGTCACAGTACTTAGTGAAACTTGTGTGAGGGAGTTTCTAACCAATATTTTCAGTCAAATTACACTTTGAATATCTATTGCCAGTATGTTACAGGAATACAATTGGATATTTTTTTCAGGGTCTGGTTTACTGCTGGTAGGCCTCAATGCTACCTTCTTGCCTCTTTGGTATATCAATAATTTATCATTCAATCAGTTTTGCTTCACTTTACAATCAATCTCCCCAGCATGTATGTAAAATTTGCTCTCTCATATTACTGAACAAAACAGATGAGATACCAATGGAAATGTGGATGGTGTCACACTGACACCAACAGGTGCTTTCTTTCAACATAAATGGTTGTCCTTTGCAATGGGAGAAAATCCTGCTGTGCAAACAAGCATAGGTACGCTCCAAGACTAGCTGCTTCCCCCCTCTTGCTTATGGACGTACCATCCCTACTCCTCTCATTGCATACACTACGTGTACCTTGGCTTAACCAGGCAATCAATATATGGCATGCACACAAGATGTTCCAAAGTTCCATATCCCACATGGTATTTTGTAAGCATATTTCCAGGAACTAAAAAATGTCTCTGTTGGTCTGTATTCTCAAGCTGTATTATATTGGGTTGTAACATATATTCCCACCGTTTTTATATTTTGTTTGTTTTCACTCCATATTTTTTAAGTTTGGCAAAGTGGATATAGTCATTCGAAAGAGCATTCTTTCCTCTACAAACTTATTGCCACCATTTTTCCGAATAACTTAATTTTACTTAACTTTCAGGTATTTGAAATGGAAATACCAGGCGGCAAGAAAACCCATTTTCGACACTTGCTTTATTTCGCGTTTCGCCGTAATCAAAAAGCAGCCGAAGCAGCTCGGGATATTTGTGCCGTTTACGGAGAGGGTGCTATAGCTGCGAGGACTGCTCGAGATTGGTTTGCCAAGTTCAAAAATGGCAACTTCGACCTGGACGACATGCCTCGCTCTGGGCGACCTACCGAGTTCGACAAAGACGATTTAACATCTTTTCCGCTCGCTGTCCAACCAAATGAGGGGCGTAACCTTCGATAACGACGAGCACCTTGAAAACTGGCTTAACAACTTCTTCGAGTCCAGGCCCGGCGATTTCTGGCGAAATGGCATTGATAAATTGGTCGAGAGGTGGGAGCAGGTTGTAAACAATGACGGAGAATACATAATTGACTAATTTGTTGTTATGATTGCTGTAACTTTCAATAAAAAAACGGCAGGAATATATGTTACAACCCAATATATAGCCAGTTTTGCACTAGTTTCCTTTGATTTGGCTGTGGAGTGGACGAAGGGTTTGTATTTGCATGTACACTAGTTTAACACTAGAACTACTGGGACAGTCTGCTTGCTGATTTTTAATGAACTTTACTCTTCTCGTTTGACAACTAAGGACCTCTGCAGTTTTTACTTTTTCTAATATCAAACTTCTGAACATTTTAACATTTTTAACATATCAAATAACATCTGAAAAATATAAATAAAATGTTACAGAATAATAGTCTTACACTGCTTTGATACTGCAGTCAATTTGACTGCTCCAGTAGTTCTAGTGTTAAGTCATTGTTATGTATACCTTTCCTGCCCCTCTTTCCCTCCTTTGCCATAGGCAAATCACATTTTACCTCTATAATCTGACAGCACAGTCACATGAGGCTCAGTAATGGACAGCTTTCTCAGCTAATGTTTTTTGCATGTAAATATAATCTCTCACCAGAATCAGAATCAGAACTAGAGAAGAAGCTGCTGTGATGATCACTGATTTCTCTATCCATAGAAGGTCGAATAGAATACCCCTCTCCATCCACTTCCACTGAACCCAGGTGAGTGCAATCTGCTTTCAAACCTCCATCCTCTTCTTTCTCTTCCCTTTATTAACCAACATTACAAAAATTTGCTCATCAAGAATCAATTCAGGACATGAGGATACAAGGTCCTAAATGGACTCACCCATCTGACTTGTCGTCCTTGTTTCCTCCCATGTCAGATTGTTTCCCTTTTTTCTTCTTTCTGCGACTTCTCAAAAACCCTACAAGCAAATGTAATATGTAAACTCTTAAATAATGGCTAGGAGAGCCAAACTAAGCTTTCAAGCACAACAGGAAGCTCCAAAGATAATTACTCAAAGCATTAGGATAATTATTCCAGATTTCCAAATAGTTTTAAACTTGAAAGAATTTTTCAGCTGGAAGGGAAGAAAAGCTAAATGCATCAGAAAGTGCAATGGAATGTGTCCCATGAAAAAAAAGGCCACCCATGCAAAAAGAGACAGACAGGCATAAAGCAAAGATGATCATGAAAGCTCTTAAGCCCAAGCAGGTACAAAAGCACCTTCAACACATTAAACCATGTAAATTTGTATTCAAGAATTGCCTTATAAATTCTGAATATAGAATTAAAAGGGATACATAGGAACACAGCTTGTTCAGCAAAGGGTATTCTCCTTTGATCAAAAGAGACAAAATATTCATATTCAACAGATTGATTGCATCACAAAAAGCAGCATTCCAGTGTAGATATGATGAGGCATTGAATCCCAGAGTTTGCCTGCTAGCTGCACACTTCCAAGTAGGAATGCAAAAGCCACTGATTCATATGGCAGGTAACAAGGCCATGACAAGAACAAAGAAAGCACCTGTAGTCCAGGCTGAGAGGGAATGTGGTGAACGGGGAGAGGAATCTCCTGATGGTGATGTAGAACAGAGACCAAGACCACGCAGCATAGAGGGAAAAGACACAATCATTAACCATCAACCTTCCTCCTCATCATTTTTCATTTGTTTCTCTTTCTTCTTTGGAATACATCCCAACAATCCCCAGAGGAATCAGCTCAAAAGGAACATCATTTTTCAAGGAAACAGCCTTTCTCAGCCCCAGATACATGAAAATTGGAAGAAAGATTCTGACAGCCTTGCCCTGAGCGAGCCTCACTGACTGAATGAGTGAATCCTGCACACAAGTGGTGCAACTGCTTCCATTCCATGAAAAGAAGCTTACAGACAACAAATGTATGATGTAAAGAAATGCTTGTAGAATAGGCACTCCTACCAGGAATTGAGGGAAAAGCACGTGCTTGATCCATAGGCATGTCTTACCTGAATAAGTGATAGGATAAAAACAATATTTCCAATCTACATTTGCAAACACTCAGCCACATAACACTGTAAAGCACATATTTTGAGGAGACATACACTGTAACTTGAAAAGGTGATTAGCAGGTCCTGAATCGAGTCTTCATGTAAATCTCATTTTTCAGAAGGTTTTAGAATTTATGAGGAGAAATTCAAATTGAACTTGAATTTCTAAAAAGATTCAGATATCACTTTTTTGGAGAAGACTTGGCATGTTTTCAATCATATTCTTAATTTTAAATGTTTCCTTATCTTTTCCCCTTTCTAGAGGATGAATAATATGTAAATTCAATGTAAATATCAAGCAATTATAAGTGATTAGCATCAATGGTCTCCTTTACAGTCAAATACACAAGACACAAGATTTGGAGTGAGCTTCCCAAGATTCTCTTCAACTTGAGATTCCACTTTGAGATGTAAATAACATTTTATGATTTGAAAAATCATTTTGACTTCCAAAAATGAAAGGGTGATTCTAAAACCATACATTAAGATTTGAATTCCAATGAATAATGAAGACTTAGAAATTTGGAGTTGATTCATATTTCACTCATCACTGACATGAAGTGAAAAGCTTCAGAGGACAGAGGACCAGAACACCGGACAGATACGGTATGGGGAAGTGCATTACTACTAGCTACCCAATACACCTTCTCAGTCACATATTACTCAAGGAACTAGTCTCATGACAGAAATAAATGCAAAAAACCTTGTATAAACTAAGTATTGTGAAATAAGAAAATTAGATTTTTTCCTTCAGGGTTCATGTTGCAAGTTCAAATAAAAAGTGGGTCCACGCTTCATCATATAACAGCACTATTAAGCTAAAAGAAATGCCAGAGAGAAATGTGATCATTCAACTCACTGCTGAATCTCCAGGATGAAGGGCAAACCAGGAGAATGGCACACAACTACATTTGGCATAATGACAATACCCATGAAATACACAGTTGGGGAACCCTTTCCTTTTGTATCAGAATAGAGAATCTCATTCATGCTGACACATGCATGGTTCTAATACCCAACCTCTTAGAGCCTAATATGCCATTTGGTGGTCCTGGCATCAGCATACTCAAGCTCATCTCCATACACAAAGCTATACAAGTGCCAATTGCACTTGCATGCAGTAACATTTCTAAATATCATTGCATACATCAGATACAAAGGCTGCTTTGAACACAAGCATTATACAGTTCATTTGTTTCCCTGGTCCCAAGCCCTCCAGAGTAGATCAGGCTCTACTAGCAAGACAATTATGAAACCAAACTGACTCAACCCAGTTCCACACATGAACATGCTTCAAGCAACATGGTAGCTACCTTTTAGAATCGAGCAATTCCTTGCATCCTGGTCAAGCATAATTAAATGCATATAAACAGTATCAGAAAGATGAAAGTCTGAAAGACATCTATTGTTCACAAAAACCAAATAAATAATCTCTTTGGAAGTATCATTACTCTTGTATGGAAGTTCAGAGTTGTATCACAATGAATGACATCGTATGAGCTTCTCATCTGTTAAGTGCTCAAGTAAGAATAGATTTTAAAGTAAATTTTCACCCATTCCCCGCAAAAATTATGTTATGCTTAAATTAAATAAAAGACCCCATATTGAGGTCATGCCAACCACATGAGTATAAGTTTGGATCATTTTGCTTGCTAAAGAACACTAGAATACAGCTAACATTTATGTTGGAAAGTGAAAGTTTATCTTATCTCATATTCTATCATGTATATATCCTGTAAATGACTAAATCAATAACAGACAAAAAATGACTCACAGGATGGAAGAAATCAATATACAATATAACATGCTGAAAATTTCAGTGCAAATTTAAAGGGAATATACTTGGTTATGCTTACAAATAATAAATGAACTGGGTAAATTAGTGTCACTATTCATTGTTGATTATCACTCCAGAGGAATACACTTCACCAACAATAGACTTGCATCACTCATACACAAGAAAATATCCCAGACACTTAATTATGAGAATTGGTGGACCAGTAACAATGAAAGGTGCTGCCTTTCCAAACACTTTTAATTCTCAACCTATAAATTCTGCATATTCAGCTTGCAGATAATGCAAGCAAAGAGGTCACATGCTCTACACAAAGTAGCCCAAAATCACTTGGCAATAAAAAATTATGATGATCTATTTGAAGTACCAACCCATGTGGTTATTCTCATCAATTGCTGAACAGGAAGTTTAAAAAAAAAAAACAACCATAGCATATGTACAAATAAACACTTAAAATAACTGAGGCAACTGCAACAGTTACCTTCTCCAATATAAGGAATCAGAAGACCATATGACAGGATAAATCTTGTCTAGCATGGAGGTCAATTATGTCATCAGAATCAAGCCTTGGTCTTGGTCTTAGTGAATAGTGGTCCAAACTTGTATACACACAGGGTGTCCCATAAATAGCCATAACATTTTAAAAACTCACATCTACTAAACTGTTGGCTCAAAAAAGAAGTAACATTAACTGAACAATAAAAGATCATTTGGAATTATCTTTGTCAAGAATGGGGATATTTCCAAAGTATGAAAGTGCCTAAAAATGCCCTCTCCCTATATCAATACATTTGGCATGAGGCTCACAACCAAAATATTGCTGAAACTCCCTTTGGACTCTCAAAGACCTCCCTCCAGGTCTTAATATTCCTTCATTGCTGAAGAGTCAATTGCGAAGTCTTTTTTCATGACAGCAAAATAAAATTAAATGAAATTATTATTTTTTCTGTATATCAGGTCTGTCTGAAACCAGGAGAGAAAAACATGAAGCTTAGGAATTTTTATGAAAGAGGATTCAACAAGGTGTACCATAAATCACCCTAAAGACATACTCCTTTCTGACATGCTTTCTGTTTGAGTCTGATTCCAAGTCATTATTGTGAAAAAAGTTCGTTCTTTCCCTAAATGCTAAGAAAAGTAACCTGTTTGTTGCAGTTTGAAATGATATAGTGACTTTTGGGACACCCTGTATAGTAGGAAGTTCTACAATGAGGCCTACTCTTGAGACAAAAGGAAACCTGAGGGAAAGTTAAGAGATGGGCCAATTTTCCTATCACCTTACCATACAAATAAGTGGCAACAGAACTATCTTTGTGATAACATCAAGCATACTGTGAACTACAAGGTGATCCATAATATCTCAAACAAAGACTTTTGTTCGTGAATATTGATTTTGAGACACAGAGGCGTCAGATTTCGAAAATATCATCATTGCAACATAAACTTCACATTGGAATTATTAAACTTCAAAGCAACACCCTTTGGCCTTCACACAGGCTGACAATCTTCCTTGCCAGCTATGGATTGCAGCACACATCTCTTCCATCGGGAGATTGCTCCAAGCTTTCACAAGGGAGCGCTTTACAGACTCCACATTTGGATGATTCCTACTGCAGGCCATCTGCTCCAACTTGGACCAAACACAGCAGTACATTGGATTCAGATCAGGTGAGGAGGCAGGCCATTCAACAGTGAATATGAAGCCTGGCAAATTGTGCTGGCACCAGTTTTGAGTGGCATGGGCCTTGTGGGCTGGTGCTGAATCCTGCTGGAACCACCATTCCCCATTTTTAACAGATCATGTGTCAGGGGGCACACATGAGGCTCAAGAATATCTGCTAGATAGTTCTCCTTTCGAATTTTGACCCCTTGATCCACAAAAACCAGGGAAGCCTTGCCCATGGTGGACACTCCAGCCCAAACCATCAACAACACCGGATGTTGCGTCCTCTGCATCTTACTGACACCCTCAGGCAACTCCCATAGACCCTGTTGTTTTGGGTGTTCCACTTAGCTTCCACACAGAACAGCTTCTCATCAGAAAACAGGATTCGATCCAATTTGCCAGGCATGAACTGCTGTAGCAGAGCCCAACATTTTTCCTTTCTGGCAAGCCATTGGTTGAGCATTTGAGTCTTTTGCATCTTCAAAGGCTTCAACCCAAGATTCTCCTTCAGCACTCACTGCATGGTTGTATGCGAGGTATCCATCTCGATTGCCAATTTTCAGTCTGAATGCCGAGGATTCTGCCTGATCTGTGCCTTCACATTCTTGACGAGCTTTGCCATGCAAACAGAATGTGGTTGGCCAGTATGCTTCCTGTCAATGACACCTCCAGTCTCATGATAATGCCTGAGAGTACAATAAACAAAATCTTGTTTGCAACCACTGGACTGGAGTTAACGAAAGATGTTCCATGGGCTTTGGTCATTCTGGAAAAGCTCAATCACAGCCACATGCTTCAGCTTCAAGGCATCCATAACCCAAAACATAAAGCAGTACAATATAAGTTTCACCCACACATATATAGCAGTTGGATGGAACAAATGGGAAAATAAATTGAGCTGAACTCTCTTGAGCTCTTTTAGCCTATATAGAAGTTTGTATGAGATATTATGGCTCACCCTGTACAATAAGAAGGCAGAGAGAAGAGGCCATTTTCACATAGATGCTAAAGTAGCCTTGAATGCAGGTCAATTCTCTGAATTTACAAATGATCAATGATTAACCTCTTCAGATTCAAGCAGCATGCACATGTGCTAAACTTAAGGCTTTTATTGGGGAGGAGGTTAATTCACAATAGGCTTGCTATACCTCAGGGAAATCTCTCTACAGCAAAAGGTCTGCGAAGGCTATTGCAGTTTAGTGATGGTGTTCATAAAATGAGGAAATGATAAACTCATGTGGTTCACCTTGGAGGGAGCAAAATCTTAAGCTTTCAGTTAATTCAAGAACAATAAGTGCTTTTACACTTGTGAAGTCATTTAATCCCACTGTATCCAAGATGAATCTTTTTTTTCTTCAAGATCAGCGCAAACCACAAATGAGGCTTGTGCTTGACATTAAATCCTACAAAGTCAGTTGCCTGGTGAGAACACTGGAGCCTTTCCTAATCTACCTTGCACTAATAAATTCTATGCTGAATTAACATTTAATGAAGACTGTTATGCACATCGGATCGGGTCAATGTATGTACTCCTCAACTGCTTGAAGCATCACAGAAACTTAAGACTCTTTCTACACAGTCAGCCACAATGATATTTGCCCTCAGCCAAACCACAGTGCCTCAAAGATCCACAAGCTGCAAAAGATTTATGTTTTAACTTTAAACATAATTTTTTGGATAAATCTGAAGCAATCAGGTAAATAAAAAAAACTTGGATTCCAGATACAATCAACCCTCAGTAAAATTCAACTGTTGGCCATTGCCAATTTCAGCATTATATCTAATCAACAATATCCCTCATAATAAGCATAAGGGCTATAGGAAGAGGTTGGCAATAAGCAGGGGTGGCACTAGACCAAGTGTAACCATTGTACTTCTATTCTTACATCTAACTCTACTGATGCAATGAACAAGCCAACTCATTAGAAAAAAAAAAAAAGTTTAAGAATTTTGCTTAGCTATCTCATTTAATAAGATAGAGGAATAAGATAGAGGCTGTTTCTACAGCAGCAGAGCCTGGATCAGCTAAAAAAAAAAAAGTCAACTACTTTTTCCCCTTCATTCTCTCAATAGATTTCATAATGTGACTTAGACCATGACCAAACTGCCTAAATGTCAATCTGATTTTTCATAGTTGGAGCATGTATGGTGAGTGAAGTTTAGCATGGGTATTAAATCAATACAAATGGAGAACTCAAGACTCATAAAGATCTCTACACAGGGCTAACCCATTAAATACTACAATGTTTATGTTCAGACAACTGTCACCCCAGAATGAATATGAACCAGTTCTGTTCTGTGAAGTGAGGGTTACCAACACACAGGAATGAATAAAAGACAAGAATAGATGTATTGTATGGAAATTAAATATAAAACTATAATAGCAAAACAAAAGGCATTCTGGACCATTTCTGAACTGTTATTGGACTACTTTTGAAAGCAAGAAAAATAAAACTGCACTTTCACAATTGCTCTGTTCTTCTACTGGTAACAATCTACATAGTAGAATGCATTAGAGTAGGTCTACATCCCTGATCCCAGAAGAGCAATGTCAACCATGTGAAAAGCAGGGTGCTCCAAAGCAAGATGAGGAGGAGGCTATGTGTGATTAGGACTCAAGGGAAGAGAAAAAGGCATGAGTAATTATGAAAGGAACCTTTTAAGCCCAATTGGGCATGCCAGAGGGGAAAGAGACAAGATACAGGCTAGATGATGAAAAGTCCTTTAAATGGAATCGAAGAGAGGGAACGCGTACATTTGGATCCACGGGAGGTGCCGGTGCCACGTGAAATGGGAGGAGGCTCACTCGACTCTACAGGAGTCTGAGAAGAATTGGGAAAGAGTGATGGAATGCTGAGACGACGAGACTTCAGGCCCCCTCGACCCTTACCTACACCTGCAACAGTCATTTCTGGTTTTTCTTCCCCTGTCCCATACCTATACAACCTCAAACATTGCCATCATCCAGACTCTCACAAAACCAGAAGAGCCAGAGCTTACAATGACATGTAAATTAAACAATGCATTTTTTCATCTTCCATGAATGATGTGCTCCTGTCATGAATCTTCTTTAGAAATATCAGGGAATAAAGAGAGAGACCAGCAGCATTCTCAAAACAGACTTTTCATGGTGGACCAAGAGGGATTGCATATCAATGGCAGTTGAGAAGCGGAGTGCAGGCATTTCATCAATCACAATTCAGAACATTTCATAGGTCATTTTTCCATCTTTCTCAGTCTTATGCTCATTCTTGTGACACACTACACCAACAAGATGATTGAACAGTGCACATTGTGCTGTACAGCAGTTTCTGGCAGGACAAATCCAGTTTTTACACAACATTGCATCATGGCAAATCATCGCATGAATTCTCATAATGATTCTATAGACAGAATGAGGAAGGAGGATGGCATGCAACATCCCATATGTTCCACCTTCACCGTATGCATGCATATGAGACGACACGCATCATGCAAATCCAAGGACCCAGTTGATTTTGGTCACCTGAGCATAACTCAAGACAGAATCTGAGAGTGTGTATATGTGGGGTGGAAAGAGTGCCCCAACCAAGATCCAATGGGGGAGGAAATTCAAAGTGGATAGGGAGTGCGAGTGAGATTTGAGATTCAATTGATCAATCAAATGATTGATTGATTGCTTAATTGATTACATACCGTCATCAGGACTCCCCGAGTTCGAGGCTGCTGCCCCCAAGCCCGAGGAGGTGTTCACCGCATTGAAGAGATTCAACAAGGAAGTGGTTCGCCTTGATGGTTTGCCCTGCAGCCCCTCTTTACTTGCCTTGTCACCACTCCCGCCCTTTTTACCTTCTTTCTTCGATGTCTTCTTCTCCTTCTCCTTTCCTTCCTTTTCTTCCTTGTCCTTGTCACCAAGGGAAGACCGGTCACTTGGGTCAGGGGATCCACTACCAATGGATACCAGGGTACCAACCACAGGTGCTTCTTCAAACACTGCTGGACCTTTAGATCAAGGATAGTCATCTGACAATATATTTAATATCCTCATGTGCCTCTTTATGGTACTAAATAAAGAAAAGGGAGATAGTGAGTTCACATGGTCGTTCAGATCCTGTCTCTTTGTTCTTGATGAATTCCTCAAGAAGTCTGTCCACTGTGAGCTCCTCAGTCTGCTGCTGCTGCTCTTCATGAGCCTGTATTTGATATGTAGAAAAAATATGAACATGATTATGGCTTCAATCATGGCAGTAGGAAATATGCATGAGCAAACTGATGAAACAGGACAGTCCTTGCATCTCACCTTCCCAATCATATCATGATGAGTCAGAAGAATGGAGGTGAAACTGCCAAAAAACTCTTTCAGCTGGATCAAGTGCTTCACCTCCATCTCTTGGAAGTGCTATGAAAACACATTTAGGCATATTGGCCCTCCTTCCATATAACTTTCAGGAATTACAAATTGCTCCTCTCTTACCCTGCAAGATACTGTCATCTTTCTTTCAAAGTCTTCCCTGAGCAAGTTGTACTTGTCAACTAATGCTTTATAATCTTCCTGTGCTTTGCGGCACTTTCCCTCCAGCTTCTCCAGTTCCTTGGTTGATGCGGACGGATTTTCACTCTTGAGACGCTCGTACTCTAAGCACCTCTGGATATATGCATCCTTGGCCTTTTGCAGACTCATTGTCACACTTTGAAGGCTCTGGACTGCATCTGATGTTCCAGACTCTTCATCTTTGACCTTATATTAACCAAAGAAACTCAATGAACCTATTGCAAAGAGAATGACATTCCAGCTCTGGAATTAACCAGTCGACACTTACAGACTTTTGTCGCTTCTGGAGTTCATCAGTATACTTGACAGCCTCTTTCACAAGCTCTTGAATCTTCTGTACCATTTGGGTATGAAGACTTGATAGTTTCTCTGTGGTTGCCTTCAGCACCTGGAGGGCATGGCATACTGATGAAAACTACTCCACTGAGCTACCCCAACTAACATCAATTCAGTGACTAGTTTAAAAATCAAATGTACAAGTAATAATTTTCCTGTTAAAGGTCTTGGAAACTTTAAATAAATACCTACTCTGCTCCCAAAGAACTCAGCAAGCAACATGTTACTGTTATGCTAAATAGTGTATAAAGCCTACAAATTCTATCCTTTCCTAGGCCTATGAATTCCTACAAATTCTATCAAATGATAAAATTTGTAGGAACTCATAGGCCTAGGAAGTTACAAGTAGGCATAATAATAAACATATTTTACATTAACATATTTCCTCTTTGATTTCGGATAACTTTCTCATGCAATTTTACTTAGGCTATGGATTCTAACAATCCCACCTGCCACATCGGTGCAAAACTTCCATGACTACAACCATTTGTAGCCTTGTTGGCAAGTTTCAAGAAATGACTGGAAGTGGCTTCCTCCAATTTGGACCTAAGAATAGAGACAAGAATAACTTATAGCATCATGTAGCATACCAGTCTGCTTCAGCCCTGATGACCACAAAGCTCAGGTCTCAGTTCAAAAATTCTGGTCTGGAAGTAGGCCTTCAACTATGAGGGTGTTTCAAAAATTATTTAACAATATATTTTGAGTTAACTGTCTCAGATATGAAGTTACTGAATACAAGTGTTCAGCCATGTTACCTATGCATGTCCTATTTTTCTACATAATCACATTCCACACATTTTCTCCAGCATATAACAAGGGCATCAAAGCCTGTATGGTTAAACTCTGATGGTTGCCACCATCCAGAAGATTAGGAAACAATACCCCATCCACTGTACAGTCCTGACCTAGTGCCTAGAGACTTCCACCTCTTTGGCTGTATGAAGGAATCTTTTTGTCATTTACACTTTGCAAGTGACAAGTTTGTTAAATGTGCTGTTCAGGGGTGGCTCATGTCACAATCTCCATGGTTTTATTGTACAAGCTTTGATGCCCTATTGCAAGCTAAATAATCGAAGGATGTTACTCAATTACATGATAGTTTTTCATTAAAATCTGATAGTTTTATCTTTAACTGTCCAGTATACACCACCCAACATTCAAAATGGTTCACTTATTGATGACTATAACATTACATTGGTCAAGTACAATAGCATGGTTTCCTGCAGCTACAATAATTAGTTTACTGTCAACTGGATCTCCAAATGATAAGAGTAAAAAGGTGGTTCAAAATACACCCAAGATGCCCCATACTTTTTCACCTTTGTTGCTACCCTTGAAATTGATAGCGATCCACTTCGAAAGTTGAGTGGTGTACATACAACCATCCATTCTTGCCTTTTCAGGCATCTAAACATGCCCACCATGGATGAAGCATATGATAAATTTCTATTAAAGTATGCCAAATTGGAAGCTCTTTTGTCAACAGGCCTGACAGGGAATTGTCCCCAATTTGAGTTTAAGCAAAAGAGCTCATCTTCAATCCATTTAAAAATTATTTAAAAACCACTGGAATGATTCCATAGCAGAGGGACTCCATCATGGAGTCAAGCCATCTAGGCCTACACCAAATTTCTCCTCACCTTTCCCTGAAGAATTCCAAGAGCTCTTTGGTGGCCTGGATGCTCTCTTTCAGATTCTGATACAGAACCTCAAATCCAGCATTTTTCTCCCCCTGCAGAAAAATGAAATGTATTTCATTGCTCAAGTTAGTCCCACATAGCTAGGCTAGTATAAGCTGGCTTGGGGGATTAAGTTGACTTAAAGCAGCTTTGGTAAATGATCACTGGTTACATTTTCTTCAGCATGTTTGGACTTCATTAGGCTAAATGACTAATTGACATGACTGAATCAAAATTAGGATTGAAGATGAAGTCTGATTTTCCTTTTAGTGTAGGTTCTGAGGGTGCTTACCAGGATGGTAAGAGGCACTCAGTGATATGTGAGGAATGACAAGGTTAGTGATTACTTTCCCACTCTGCTATTACAAGTGCCAAAGTCAAAGAATCCGAAAGCCAACCTATTTAGGAAAATATATCAGTTATGATAAAATAGGTTCATCATGTTTATTTAAATATTTTCTCACCCAATTGACACATGATTTCCTAATATAACTTGGTTTTCTCACTCTTTTGGTTCAATGCCAAACAAATGTGGTTTATTTGGTCTGTTAGTCATGCCTTCCTTGACATGATTCATGGTTGCAGCCAAATGCTGAGTAGATCAGTTATGTTGTTTGTGGATGGAATTTACAACTGGAGGGCAGAGCTAGTGGAGAATGAGCATTGCTTCATATGATCCACAAAACCCTTCAGGTTATAAATATCACTATCTGCTATTGATGGAAGTACTCCTATGGAGGGGGAAGGGGGCAAATTCAGTTCCAAAATAGTATAGGCTTTGGTTTAATGAATACCCAAAAGTGCATTGAATTGAAAAATTGAAAGCATCAGTATAAGTATCATGGGAAGAGAACTTGAGTTGATTGCAAAGGAATGTTAGACTATGGCATTACTCAACAGTGCAGGAAGCACGGTCATTACTGCAGTATGAGAGCCACATAGCGATCACTTAAGGATAACAGTTCCCACATTAGATTCAAGTGCCTTTAGTGATTAGTCAGTGGTAGGTGTGTTTCCGTTTCTAGAATCATCTCCTTAATAGAGTTCGCCACCTACTATTCACCTTGATGTTTTTGCCAGGGTTTCAGTTAAATCCTGATACGCTCTTCGACTCACCCAGAAATGATCACAGAAGTCAACCGTCATGATAACCTGACCATATCTTGGGAAAGCGCCAGCCAGCGTAAATCACAAAATGTGATGGAAGCTTCGTCTGGAGGATTACACGCGAAGAGCTCACACTAAGTTATACCTTCTTAGAGTGGCAGACTCAAGCACATGAGAGGAAATTGCGAGGGGATGGCAGTATGGCACATTCCCCTCGGCATACGGACGCCATACTTGACAATAGAGTCTTCCTCGGAACAGCATTCCCACCTCTACACCCGACAGATCTCGGACATCGACCAATTGCGAGCCAGGATTGGTTAGACCTAATTCCGCGCACCACTTTGATCTCGACTAAAGGCATTCTTACGTTACGTCACCGCAACCTTCTGCTTCTACTTCTCACCACACTACTCGCTCCGAGCATTTCGCGACCCTCTGCAGTTATTCATCCATTCTCTTAGTCTGTGAAGAAACGAACATGCCTATAAGGATATGCAGGGACGTAACCAGGAATTACTTTCGGGAGGGGAGAGGGGGGTGTCCTGTGAGGCTCTTTCAGGCTCATGAGTAGCGAGCGGGTTTTTATGCTCTAAGTCCTAAAATATGCACATATATATGCGCTTAAAATCGCCAAAATAGTCACGAATATGGGAAAATATGCAAAAACGTCATTTTTAAATGCAGTACGAGATTTTTGGAAGGAACTGCAATGTACATTACACGCCTCTACTGGGTATAGTTGGTCTATTCTTGTCACAGCCGGCGGCGAAGCCAGAAATTCACCAATGGAGGGCTAAGGGAAACGAATGGGGACTAGAATTTCCTAAACTTCTTGGGTGGAGGTGACGGATGAATTTAAAGCAAAATTAAGGGGCTTCCCCACCTCACCTTTCCCCCCCTCGCTACGCTGCTGGTCGGACTTCATAACTGCATGAAAATTTTCATCGGTAGCTCATAAAGAAAGTACATTTTCCTAGAAAACCCTTATTTTTTCCCATACAAATGGGCGCAATATGCATAAATATGCACATGCTGAGAAAAACGTGAAAATATGCATTTTTATGCGTTTTTTAAATGGCATAAATGGTTTCCTCTACCAATGAGACAGGACCCTATCTGGGTTCCATGTTCATAGAAGGCTGCAGAAAAATATCCATTTGCATAAAAATCCGCTCCCTATTCATGAAATGAAGTGGCCGAGGAAGGTGAGTGGTTGGAAGGAATGAGGAAAACTTCGAAAGCCCTTTGAGACTTCAACCCCACCCACTTCATAGTTCAAAATAGCCCCTTCTCTTTCCAAATTTCAAATTTTTCTTGCATAAAAAGAGATATGGGTCAAAGACTGACCTTGAATTAGTCATAATATAGCGGGTGAAAGTTATTCCTGAATCATGGTTTGCTACTCGAACTCAAAAAACTGGTAGAGCAATGGAAGCAAAATGGGAGGGGGCATTGTATTGGTTAAGAATGATTGCATACTATTGATACTGGTGGAATAGGACTACAAGTCGAAACTTTAGTTGTATAGGTGAAACTTTTCACACTCCCCCACTCTCATACTCCTGGTTTCATGGTATCATGCTTCATTTCGGGGGGTGTCCAGACTCCCAGGACACCCTCCCTGGCTACGTCCTTGAGGATATGCAACTTGAACTGGCGATTTTATCAACGAATTCAACGTTATGGTTGTTCTGTACTCCATATTCATTAAGACTGCAAGACTTCTGCAATATAAATACTTTCATTCTATGCAGAGCATCTGAACAATATAAAAAAAGGCAAAAGGCTTGTTTAATGGCAATAACTGGTATTACTCCAGCTTCTGGTGGAACTAAGGATTAAATTAACCCGCAAGGTCATTTGCCAACCAGCCTCAGTTGCTCTGTTCGTTTCCTATTTTACGTAATTTTTTTGTCCTCCCACGCGGCCGGAAACCGATGCATAAAAGGACTTCAAAAAGAGTATGCTTCGTGCGATTGGCAACGGCATGCTCCCAACATGAGAAAAATGTACTCCTTCTCCCCAGTAGAGTAGCCAGACTTTCGCCTAAGGGGGGGGGGGGGGGGCCATTTAGACCAGAGTTGGGGGGGGCTAGAACCAAACTGGGAGAGCTTCAGCCCCCCCCCCCCCCGTGCTACGCCACTGCCTCTCCCCAAAGATCCTATATTGCAAGAGAGATGAATTTGCCAGTTGGTTCCACCATGCCTGTAGGAACAGGGTGAAAAGAGCATCGGTCGTTCAAATCCTGGAAAACAGTATTTACCATAAATCCCAACATATGATTTTTTTTTTAGTTATTTAGTTACTTTTTATTTAGTACTGGTGTACCAAGTTTCAGGTTTCTATCATATCCAGAATATGATTAATTAGCGTTAGTGACTCAGTCACGATCATTAGATGGGAGTAGATGAGACTTGGATTGACTATACCTCCGCTTACGAATTACGCCCAACAGATCCGTAAATGATACCTCTCTCCTTTTAAAGCACGCTGGCAAGGGAATAGTTCAACTCTATTTTCTACTCCACCATTCTCCTGCGCTCTTCTTCTTCATTGCTGTGACGTCAGTGCTTGCGAGATTCCCTTCAATCGAGAGGTGAAAACATTCTTTAAAAGTTTTCCCAAATAGGAGGGAAGAGGAGCGAAAGACGACTGGATCTGCTGTTCGCTTTCGGACTGACAGTATTCCGGCTGACTGGTCACTCCATCGCATCGCTCCGTTTAACAAGCTTCCCTTGCATTCATTGTATTTCGACCGGTCTCACTCGCGTGGACATTCTAAGCGGCGTCTTTTACACTCGGTGGTCATCCAACAGCTTTCTAAAAAAGAGTGATGATTCACTACCCATCTCTGTCTCATTGGAAAGACGGTAAACACGAAGGGGTTGCGACGAAGCGCAAAAGTCAGGCTCGAAAGGCTTCGGAGGCCAAGTGGAACTACAAGAGCGAATGGACAATTTTCCAAGTCCGACGAGCGGCACGGCCGACCTTGCCTTCTTATCATTCCATTTCCTCACGTTCGAGAGAAGTTCCTTGAAAACATTTTTTCACTCAAGGTCGCTATGCTACATCCTGTCACAGGCGACAAGAGTTTTTCCGCATTCAGATGAATCTGCCCAGGAAAGGAAGCTAAGAACGACACCGGACATCAACAGCGTATCACCAATGCGCAAAAATGAAGGGAGAGCGTGACTTCCTTTCAATTTCAAGGTTTGTGAGGCAGCCACGCTATGCCATGCATATATATATGTTTTACCAACCGAACTTAGCAGTAAAGTCAAAGTGCATGAGAGAGAATTTAACCCCTCGCAACGACGGGACCATAGTTCTTGCACTATAGCTATTGACATGAAGTCTCGCGAGCATCACGTTTAACAAGCACTGATGCGTAACTATACTTGAGAATTAAAAAAAATCAATGGAGGGGGGGAAAGCCGTATCTCTCTTTTCAGTATAAAAAAAAAGAGTCTGCCACACGTTAGATATGCCCAAGCGATTTCCCTTTCCTTCATCCAACGAAGACAACCAGGGACATAACCAGAAAATTTTTGTTCGAGGAGATCCGGACCCTTTGGATACCCCTTCTTTTGGAAACTCCTCTGAAGACAGCCTAACAGACTAGCATCATGTCCCACTTTTCCACGCTTGAATAATGGAACTCATGGAACCATGGCCGATCCGCTCAGCTTCGCACTTGGGCATTGCAGTAATGGTGAACGAACTCTTACTGCTCAAGGAGGAGTTACGTTTCCTGAATGCGAATAGATCAAAGGTGACTTATTGAAAGGGATATAGCTATTTGCTTCAGCGGAGATAACCCTCACACATGAACTCACTAAAATTGAACTCTTCCCAGCAAAAAAATTTGAAACACATAACGTTGAATCAACATTGAATAAACGTTCGGAACGTTGATGCAACGTTAACCCTAGAAGTGACAACCGTCGATAAATTCGACGTTGGTAGGCCACCGTGCTGCTTCTGGCGCTTCTAGGGTTAATCCAACGTAGCCTTGTTTGCTGGGTTACCATGCCATTATATCCCATGGGGTCAGTTGACAGGTCCTCCATGCCAACTCTTATGAGGCACATTGGCACCTCCAAGCACTCTAGGAGGAAGTCAGGTCAGTCAGGATTAAGTTCCAAAAGGAAGACCGAGCTTTGGTGTCCTGGTAGAGGGTGTTTGAGTTACTATTAAATTATAATCTCACCCCAGGAAACATAGGAGCATTGTGGGAACATTCAGCCAGTGTCGATACAGTATCATCAACATTGACGGTTCAAGTCCAACGTTGCATGAATATCTTAGCAGTGTTATGGCACTATGATACTTTCTTATATCACATTTTTTATACTTTTTTTTCCCCAAGGAATGACCAAGAACCTATCCAGTGTCACTAATTAAAGTCAACTTCTTGCTTCTGCTTCAAAGTTCAGCAGTGTAATTTATCAGGGATTCTAGGAACATGTCATGAGAGGAAACTATAAAGTCGCCTCTGCTGACTGGCACATACTTCAAGTGAGCTGTGTCAATTCTTGCAAAATGTTGAATCACAGTTCAGAAGAATCACTGATATGGAATGAATCTGTGCAGCAACATGGTGTTGGGGGGGATGTGCCCCCCCACTTTTCAAGAAAAGAAGCCAAAAGAATGAAGGAAAGACCCAGAAATGCATAACAGTATCCCAGATTTCTCGTGCCCCACCACCTTTTCCATCCAAGCTATGCTTATGTGTCTGTGCTTGCTGGGGAATGTTCAACCAATCTTGAACTTCAATCTTCATCTGGGTGTTGCAATAAGTGACATTACAATGTTGGCCCAATGCTTAGGTGCAATACTATTTGGAAGAGGAGAAGGTTCTAAATTAACATTCATGTAGCACCTGTAGAATGTTGGAAGTGCTGCTAGACAATAATTTAGCCAGTGTTGAAGTTCAACATTCATCTGAGCATTACGATAAGCAACATAAAAATACTGACTTGATGTTAGGTGCAACGCCACCACAATGCTGCAAAGGTTCAAAATTAGCCTTAAAAGAACGCTGATTGAATGTTCATTTGTTTGCTGTGATATGGAATACAGCACATTCAACATACTCACATGACAGGAAACATATATTAGTTGTTGAAAGTCTGAAGTTTCCTTCACTCTTTCCCTTATAAATAAATTCCTTGAACAGTCCCTACATGGCAACAAAATTGCAGTGCTTGTGGCATATTCCCAACATGGGATCTAAAGTAGGAGGCAAAATGTGTTGAGTTCAGAAAATCCCAGCTAGCTGTGAAAATAGGTAGAGTATTTCAGTGGATCTACCTTGTCACCTCTGGGACAAGTCAAATCACTTAGGACAACTTGCTAAACAGAGCTAAGTTGCTACCTCACTGTGACTCTTTACAGTAAACTCAATGAAACTGGGGTTACTTTCAAGTGTTGACTGGATATGTGCAAAAAAAAAAAACCACTTAGCCCTCTCTTCATTCAGTGCTATGCTGCAATATCTCAAGCAAGGGTGGATGCAGAAATTTCTCATAGGGGGGACAGTTCCCTAGTTCCCTCCCTCCCTCACACCCCTTTTTCATTTCTCAACAGGGGTAAAAACTTGAATATCTATTTCACTGGTCCCAATAAAAATTAATGTAGAAGCTATAAAAAAGATAAAATAAAATAGAATGCTAACCTGGCCATGGTGGTCACTCCCCAATCCCCCCCCTGCATCCACCACTGATCCCAAGCTCAATAATTGTGCAGCCTTCTAAAGATTAGTTTCAGCTAGGGTTAAGTTTTAAACAAGAATATTAGCAAGATCTTGAATTGTTTCTTGTGAAGTCTTGATAAGATGTCCTCCATCTTCAACACCCCCTCAGATGTCGATAAACTTGTGAATTATTATTTTCTTAGTTTTACCTGTCCAACCATGTTCTCCCTCAGCAACCCAAAGGGAAGGATCTTGACAAGATCTTGTTTTTTATTGCCAAGATTTTTTCTTATCAAGCCCAACCCTAGTTTAAGCAAAAACCTTGAATGCCTTTGATTTCTTACAAGAGTGAAAACTTTTAGTACTGCTGTACATCCTCCATGCCACTGTAGGGTTTTTAGCCTTTTTTCCACCAAGAAAAGGTGTCAACTAGTGGGTGGATCGCTTGACAACCTACAATATACAAGGGATGATCAAAAAGTTCAGGGACTGAATTTTTTATGACACTGTAGTGACTCTTCCCAATTACTGATGGCTATATCATTCAAACTAGTCCTCTTGGGCAACTGCACACATTTTCTGGCATTTCTTCAGCAGCTGGAAACATTGATGACACTTAACATTTGGAATCACCAGCAGCTGAAGAAACACCAGAAAATTTGTGCAGCTGTGGAAGAGGACCACTTCGAAGGATATATCCATCAGTAGTCAAAAAGAGTCACTACAGCATCATAAAAAAGTCAGTCCCAGAACTTTCTGGTCACCCCTTGTGCAATTTCAGCTAAGGTCATGTCAGATACCAATGCAATTGAATTGCTTTATATTCATATTTTCTTCAACTCTTAGTGCCATGGGCTAATGTTCAGTCACACAAGTTTCTTGCAGCTGGTTCCTTACAGGACTGATGGAGCAGTGCTGGGCATATCACTTAGGTGTGGTTGACCGAGTGAAAACATGCATCATACTAAGAGGGTTAAACTGTGGGCATCTGAGTATTTAGCACAGTCAATCAATTCTTCCCAACCCTTGGGATTAGGCAAATATGAGATAACTCAGGCATGGATACCAAAAGGAGCTGTCCACCTGATAACTTAGACAGGGGACATACATTTATAAAACCCTTGCAGTTCCAAGTTGCCCAATACAGCCTAAAACTAACATTGTGATGCATCATGTAGTTCAGGGGTGTCAAACTCAAATCGGTCGGAGGGCCGCATTCCCTACCATGCAGATGCCTGTGGGCCGCACCCATAATTTTCCACTGAAATTTGACAATTGAAATGAAATTTGGTGACAGTCTATCAATGCAGAAATGTCTAAAACGCAAGGCGGGCTGGATGAACCACCTCCGCGGGTCGTATGTTTGACACCCCTGATGTAGTTCAAAAAAGGAGCACTTGGAATTTATGGATGGCTTTTACATATTCAAGAAAAGAGAGCACCATGCAGTTCAACGGGACAATAAAATTGCAAAATACTTAGCTCAAAATTTTGATTGACACAAGTCTGTTCATCAAACTTCACACTGGTGCCTTTCTTTCATTGTGAATTTACCAAGAACAATTAGTATTAATTTTTTTTAGCACTTGAAATGTGAAAGCATAATAGAGGGGCAAGATAAAATGAGAGGTCTACCAGGATGAAATGTATACTACCAAAATATGAAAACTACTTCAAAGGTGCATTTGTAAATAAGAAAAGATGAGCAAAATAAAGAGTAAGTTGATACAAAATACCAATGAATGTCTTTATTATAAGAGAAATAAATGTCACATGAAGAGCTGGCTGCAGCTCAGATACATACTCTCCTAAGCCATGACATCATCCTCTTCCCATCTTCAACCTTTTTCATCCTCTTCCAGCATGGAATGCAGGTCAGCAAAAGCATTGCAGAACCTTCTTGAGAAATCACAACTCTGGGCAGGATATCCTGTCCTCATCTGATTCCAGTGACTTTCCTTGCAAGCTGGAATTGCTCCAAATACTGCAGGATGGTATCCCGTGCAGTATAGATCTCATTGAAACGAGACTGGGGAAGTAAAGAGAGCAAGCAGGTAATTTTGATACACTGAAGTAATTGTCATGCAGTTGTAAGGCTTTCAGGATAAGTCAAAAACATCTTGAGCATGGAGGAAATACTGCAAAATAAAACCAAGTGATTAGTTTTAACTGATGTCCCTTATTAATGGACTACAAGAACACAAGGTCAAATAGGCAAATTTCTAGGTCAGCTGCAAACCATCTACATGTCTTAAAAATAGCCAGAAAGCATAGGTTGGGAGAAAGAAGTTGGATCACAGTAATAATATTCCACTTGAGGAAAGGTGCCCATTGAAGCAAAACTTTACCAATACTTCCATTCAGTAGCTTCACATGCTAGAAGTGGTCTGTGGCTGCATGAGGCTACCTACACTTCATACCTTATAAGGTCATGTGGAAAATGATACAAACATGGTAAAAAAAAAAAGGCACCTGCAAGTCACTATGACACTCTAATTTCAATGTTCAAATCTTAAGAATATAACCAGTTAATAAAAATTGTATTAGTGATGGGCAACTTGGGGACCAAATATAATTGTCGTTCATCAGGCTGAGTGTGCTTGCCCAAAAAAGTGGATAGCCCTTAAAAGGGCTACCAAAGGGCAAGTTATATATAAAGCCACTGGACTTTAGTCTCCCAATGATAAGAAGGGAACTTCCCCATTTTTGTATCTAGGGGAGAACCCAGGGTGTTCATTGGGTGGTATTTCTAGATGTGAAACTTTGCATTTCATACTTGATTTCCACTCACTTGGAGAAATGCAGGTGGTTGAGATGAAACACAACTTCCAAAAGATCCTTGGAGGAATTCTCTCATTAATTCCCAGCAGTTGCTTGGAATCACACATGGTTGATACTCAACCTATTAAAATAAATAAAAACAATGCTATACACTGGTACTGCATGTCTAACACTTGAGAATAAAGATGGATTCCTGAATGCCATTAAAAACCTTACTTCACAGAGGATCCCTTTGAAGTTCTGTCCAACAGTGACACTCCCAAGTTTGATTAAAAAATCACCACCAGCCACTTCAAAGCGTGTGCCTCGAGATTCAGCCTTTGGAGCTTTCTTGGCTCCACTCAGTTCACTGATCTTGCCAGTGATCATGTCAAAGAGAGTGTCTGCTGTCACACATATTCGTTTATTCTCAGTTTCTAAAATGGAGAACACAGTGGCAGGTTGCTCTGAGTTGTGCATGACATGCAGTATCTTCTGCTGATCTGAAAGATGCAAGAATGAATAAGAGATGCAGCCCAAAAATTCAAAAAGAGAATGAATCTCATGACCTTACTCATGGGTGTTGTAATAACATGTGTATCGCAGTCAACGACAAAGGTGCCCACTTGCACTGCCCCTAAAGCACATATCCTTTTAGTAAGGAGATCGATTGTTTGCTGTCCACTTCTCCCTTCAGGAGTAGGGAATGCCTGTAACCTACAGGAGAAAATATTTTATAACATTTTCTCAAAAAATGATAAAACATTGTCCTGGAGCATTGTACATTTTGCTGACACCCCTTCCCCTACCTGAGGGGGGAGGGTTTTGCTCACCTTCCCTTTGGTCTTTTACCATGAATACTGCTGTCCCCTCTACCCTTTCATCATCCAGGTGAGTCATATGTCCCCACACTTGGAGCCCTGCTTCCACACTCCCTCTTGATATAAGGGCAGGATCCCAATCTACTGCCAGTAAGAGATTCCAGCTCCCTCCTGCAGGAATAAAATGGGACTCCAAGTGTTATGTAGTGGGCCATATGGCTCCTAAGATCCATGGCAAAGGTGAGTACAGCTCCCCTAAGTAGGAGGGGTGTGCACATGATGTACAATGCCCCAACATGTGGGCTTTTTCATTTTGCTATTAGCAAAATTCACTTTATTCTCTCACTGCAAGGGGTCTACAGAGTAATAAAATTATTTTCATTTCTTAGGCAATTTCCATTCACCTTTTTGCTTTTTTGTTTTTCATGAGGCTAGAATCAAATAATTATTCACCACCTCTTCTGCCCCTCAAGCCAGGAGTCCAGCATAGATGTAACCAGAGGTTGCACTAAGATTCTTGCCCTGGCTGCCTGCCCATGCATCCTCGGGGTCCTGGGACCCCTGGGACACACATGCAGAAGGCCTAAGACTGCTGGATTGAATATCATACTGCTTGGTTATGTTAAGTTGGGAAATACACATGGATTGCTGGACTTTTACTTTTGGGGAACCCTTCAAGTTTCTCTTGTGCTTCACTTGGAAAGTAACCCCCTTAATTATCAGGGGGCCATTCCATATCAGACCTGAGGGTCCCAGGGACCCCTACAGCAAGAAACAAAAAAGTAATCCCTGTATGCACTTAACCTAGTGAAAGACTGCTGCTCACTTGATCTGGGTTATAAACATTGCTTCTATAATTGTCAATACGTAAACAGAAACAAGTTAAAAATATATGGTAAACTCCACCTACTCAAGTCATACTTCAACTGTTGCAGTTGTAGTAACACGATAAAGCAGTGGGTTAACTGGGGTGTCAGCAGAGTATTATCAAGTCAAAGCCCCGACCTGCTCATCGAAGCACATTACCTTTTGATTTATTTCAGTAGCCTAAGCAGGGGTTTATTCCTCGCCTCTGCTAAACTTAAGTATAAATCTAAATCTAAATAATCTGTTCCAAAAGCAGCCTAAAAGCAAAAGATTTAGATTTACATTAAGTTTAGCAGAGACAAGGAACAGACCCCAGGCATGGCCACTCTATTCACATGCTGATGTTTAACGTTTAACATTACCCTTACCCTACCGACAAGTTTCTAAGAACTTACACTGTGACACCCATCAGGTGAATTGAAAGGTCGTTTTTCGATCTGTGTTGAGGCGTATGTCGCGTAGTACGGGTCCAATTTCTTGTTGAACCGGCGAAAGTAGACGCGTAGCGTATGAATCAAGCCAGCCAAGCTGCCTGCCCCGAACGAGAACTTCGCCCGCGGAAGACCGCATGAAGGCATCTTCGATTTCGGGCGCGTTGCTATAAGTGCGATTCCGGAGTTGAAAAACTGCTCTGGATTGATCCCTCATATAAATGGTGCAGAGACAGTGATTTCTCACTTTCAGCTATTGTGAACGGGACTGTGTGTTCTGGCTCAAATAAGTCTAGGTCTTACTCCTAGCTGCATGGCGTTAGGTCCCAGGAATATGGAAGAGTTAACTATAGAGTTATCTCTATTCTTTCGTCCTGCTTGGCTTCCTCGTGCGCTCTCTGTTAATTTTAGAATCGCCTGAGTCGCTTAAAACGTCGTCGAATTGCATGACACAAGGTGTCAAAGGAGAGTAGCCGGGAGGAATCAGAAACGAATGTTATTTAGATCATTGTCTCTTCATTTGCAAGTGGCCGTCATGGGCATATTCCATTTGCTTACTCCGATTCATCGTTGAGTCTACATACCGAAGTGGAAACCATGGTGGCCAGGTTGTGCCTATTAAAGGCCAGATGAAGGCCAACAGATTTTCTGAGCAGCCTCAATTCGCTCTGCACCGCTGCAGCTAAATTCTTAATTCCCTTCTCTTGCCGTCAAGCTGCTATGATTTTGTGCATTTGGGCATAGTGAACTGTCCTATTGAACATTTCACGAATGTGCTCCTCATTTCCATAATCTCGAGTTTTGTCATCAGGACACACCTTCATCACGATTATAACGGTTTCCTCAAGAACCCTGAAAACCCGGGTAAAAAAGAAAGAAAAAAGTATGAATGCGTTCTGGCAGCACCAACCCTCCGTGGACTGAAAGGAACTACAGTCAACTCTCGATAACTCGAAATTCTCGATAACTCGAAGTTACTTCGATTTCCTTCAAAAGCCCTATAAGGACGCAAATATAAATATCTATCGTTGATCGTGAGGCTTCCACGAGAATGCGCCAAACTCGCCTGACTGACTTCTCAAATGAATACGCTAAAATGAGTTAGTGTTGCCAGCTTCGTAGAATTGTATTGCATGTACAATGTTGTAGAGGCATAGAATCCGAAAACCTCCGTAACTCGAATTTCCCTTGAGCTTCGAGTTATCGAGAGTTGACTGTACCTAGTTGATGGTCTGGATTTTGCCCGATTCCCTCACCGCTGGCAGCGTCGTTTTGGCGCCTTCGATTCCTGGGGAATTTCCCAGCTTGTTAAGCAAGACGAGACGTTCCTAAACGAAGCTTGGTCTCGTTCTATTTTCCATGCATCATCAAATTCGATATGAAGACAGCATAAGTCAGTCATCCAGTTCCACCCCGTGAGGAGCTTCACTCATTGCTAAACTGGATTCGTCTGTGGACTTTTACAGGTGGACCCGAGACGTTGAATCCGAAGTCTCTCTTATATATTTCTCTGTGACACGATATATGATTGAGAAATTACTTTGCTGTAGCCTTGTCGACGTTTCCTTCCTCTTCTCGTCGAGAAGGCGGTGACAGACGAATAGATTTTTCTTTCCCCTCACTCGAAAAGCCTCGGCGTACAAAGCACTGCTCATAATTTGCTTGTACAAATGAAAGCTGAGGCTCAAACAGTGAAACAGCTCGATCGGGGAAATCCTGAGTCTCGGCTGGTGAAGATTTCGATTAGAAACATGTTCTAGAACCACTGTGGTCTGCCAAAGTCATCAATCTTGACCGTCTGTCAGTGTCACACGAAGGGCATTGTATCACATGGATTTGGCCAGGGAGCAAGTCACCCTCTCAATTCCGCTTGCAAACTTGCGGAAAACAGGAGGATTTAGGCGGGTATGGGCTACTTGCGACTCGTGCTGTACGATTTGGGGTCCGTCTATACCAGGGGTGCGCAACATACAGCCCGCGAGGCCTTTATCGTCGGCCCGCCATGACTGGTGGCGATGTAAGTGCAACTATGGCTCCTGCCCTGTTGGCCACAGCTATTGTCAAGCAGCCTTAGCGTTTGGTGCGTAAAAATCGCAAATGGCCCTCACAGCCTTTTGAGTTGTGTACACCTGGTCTATACAAAGACACGGATATCCGTTTTTTGATTCCCATTTGAGCGCATGGGCGTCATGAGCATTTCCTCATAGACATCTGGGAATTCCGAACCAAGGAGTACTTCATTCAGAAAAAAAATTCCCTACGACCTGGCTATTTTCCAGCGTATATATATCTCTATTTTCGTTACGATGGTCGATTATCCCGTGAGATTGCGGCAGCTTGCAAATCGATGGAAAGCCATCTTTATCGTGCTCCCTAACCGCACGCAATTTTCCAGAATCACGACATCGGATGATAAGCAATCACGTGAAAGGAAACGTACCAGCCGAAGGAGGCACTTGTAGTGGGTACTTTTGTCTCGGAAATGAATTTTTTTTTTTCCGACTCGTTCTCCCGAAATGAGTGTATTCCAAGCATCGGTGGATCCACACATCGGAAATAAACATACAAATCTGCAAAAAAAATACCGTAGCGGAAGATCGTCAGCATCGCCATTATCTGTTTTGAACTCTCTACCAGACAAGGTTACATCGAAGGGATTTCATGGATTCCTAAGAGCATCGAGGTAACAGGCGACAATCCACACGAGGTTTCATTTTTTTAAATTCCTTCTGAACTGTTCGAAAAAAAATGGTATTCAGAATTTTTTTATTTATTGATATCAATACACGAGTTAAATCTGGGAAGACCTAGTAAAATTGTGTGCACTCCGACACTCTTCACTGTCGAAGAGCGACAGGTGTAGGTCTTCACAAAGTAAACCTTTCTTGGATTCACGGTATTCTAAATATGGGTCATTTTTCGAGCCAAAAGCTGGATCCTCATGGAGGAGTTAGTTTACTTTTTTCTTTAAGTGGATACGATTTTTTCAGTCGTAATGGGACATTTAGGGCTCTGACATCAGAGTGAATTCATGGGACTCCTTGCAATGAAATAGTAACTAAATTTTTTTTTATTACGTTAACTTCAAAAGTTGTTAAGTTTATTATTATGTTTCTTTTTTTGTGCATCATATGGCCAGCTCTTAAAAGAGGTTCACTTTCGTCCATTACGTTAAGTTTCTCGGGTCTCTCGGCCTCAGAATTGCAGAAGTATTGTCGATTAAGTGCGATTGGGCGCTACCTTCATAATAAATTCGAAATTGAAGAGAGGGTTAGGTCTACTTCTGGTTAGCTTACTGAAATTCTCAGAGGCGCTGTCAGTCATTTTTTTCGAGAATCAGCCCTTACACTCTTAAAATGTTCACGTATAAAGGTTATACCCCTGTCCTTCACCTTTAATGCTGTGGGCTTTCTCCGATCCATCAATCATTGACGTGGAAGCTATGAGCCACCTCACAAGCCATAATAAATCATTCACAAATGTTATAGGTCCGTAGTACACTGAGGAAGACGTGGTATTTGACTCAATACTAGTGTACATTAAAAGTTGTGAAGTAACGCGTAACAGTAAAGATGTTACCAAAGTCAGTAACGAGAAACGGCTACGCGTTCCTTATCCCCAGACGTAACGAAAGGCAGTAACACATTCCAAACTCCGGATAAAAATAATTTCCCGCAGTCGAACAGGTAAATATACAAAGAGAATATGCGAACCTCTCCATTGTGACTGTTCAGCGCCACGCAGCCCCCCCCCCCCCCCTCCCACCTTTCTTCATGCTATATCACAGCGGTTCTCAACCTTTCCTAAGCCAATGCAAAACTTTCGATGGCGAGGTATTGACGGCATCCTTGTATATCCACATGCACGATAATATAGGCCCGAAGAGAAAATTAGGACTTCTGAATTCGTTTATGAATGGTACGGTCTGAACCACAGTTACAAATCATTTCAAGAAGATTAATTGAAGCTCTTCATTTTGTTGCTTATGGAATACCTTCAATGAGGTACCTGAGCCTGCCTCCGTCTACACGGCTCAATATTTTAAGTAAAGCCGTCCATGTCATCAGTAACTCTCAAAACGACCCTGAACGTTTTTTCTTCATATATCCTGGGTATATGAAAATAGACGGTAGATTTACTTGGCAAAAGCAATCAGGATCTTCATCGAGGCAAATATATTAATCTTGTCATTCTTCCTTGATAAAACTCTCTCGATGAAATTTATTTCAGGAATACGCAATATGGTTCAATATGCAATAAAAACGGACTCATATTGTGTACTCTTGGTGTATAACTTTATGAGGAGCGTAGGCTGACGTCAGAAGCTGTTCAGCAGAAGAAGCTAGCTGCTCACCCCATGAAATGCCCCTCGATTACACCAGAAAAGGAGCATTGAAGCCTCCCGACCTTCTTGCCCTCCTTTGGCGACAGGCCAAAAGAAAAACCCGGCAACACCCTCGGTACCCTTGTCAGCCTCTCGCGGCACATGGTTGGGAACGGCTGCTATACCGCATCGAGAGACAAATGGAAGTGGTGTGGATGCGAGGAGGGATGTACCACAGCTGGAGGACGGCGTCGTTGAGGATGAAAACTCCAGGTCCCCTTCCCCTTGGTCTCTTGGATGAGTTTTTCCAAGCAACGAGTAACTTGAGTTACCTGAGTTACTTTTTGAAAAATGCAACTAGCCATCCTAATTATCTATCTCGTACATTTTCGGGAAGTCCTGAGCGAATTTTGCACTATCATCTGTACTTGAATCATTTTTTTCATGATATTTGGTAATTTTGACTCGCGTACTCACTTTACAGGGATAAAAATAATAATTAACTATGTTATTTATTTTCACTAATTCACTCATCTTTGTTCAGAGTTCCAAGTGATAAACTCCAGATATCGAGAAGTGAACTCTGGAACACCTAGCATTTTATGGACTGTGAGGAAGGAAACGAGTGGGAAAATATTTTTAATCCTAGAAGAGTGTTCCCCACCCCCCCCCCCCCCCTCCCCTTTAACATTTCCCGACGGTGGAGCAATTTTTCACCCCAACAGAAAACGGCAGTTTCTTGTAACTGAATTAGTTTCAAGCAAAAATGAAAATCTGAGACCTTGGTCCAATTACGGAATGTCATTGAACGAGACGGATCCTATAGAATCAATTGTCCGAACAGTCAGGGCACACATTCGTCAGATGAACAGTACAACGAGCTAGCCGCACACGGTGCAGGTAAACCTGATCTTACTGTCCGCCCCGCTGGCGCAGAATGAACATCTTTCCCATCTGGGGTGCCTTGTTGGGCTTAGATTCTGTCTCAGAAAGATACAAGACTTGCGAGATTGCTCCCCAGGAACGCTTCCGCAAATTTGGGCATGAATATGCCGTAGCTTTTGCAATTTAAGCAGCTCCGAAATTGCCTTCTATTTTCCAGTGTGGGCACGCGGCGGACCTCACCAAGGAGTGGAGGAGGAGCCACCCCCCTACCGGACACCTCCCACCTCCAAGAGACCTCCCCCGGACCAGGACATGGGGGTGGGGGAGAGACGAGATGGTGGACGAGAGACTGAGGGTGTGTGATCGTGTGACTTTGTATAACGGTGTGTATTGTATTTTCTGGATTGTATGGACTTTCTGGATTGTATGGATTATATGGATTTTCTGGACCTGTAAATTATTCCCGTCGTCCTCGACTTCAATTTCAACTTCCCTCCTGCCTGGTGCCTGTAGACTGTACGAGTGGGTTGTATACATTCAATATATCCATTGTTATTGTTGCTGAACATCCTAGTCCTTCCGAATCTCACCGGTACTTATCTAATTGGAGTCAGTCCGTATATACACAGTCCAGTCATATTAATGTGACCACCAGTCAATAGCCGGAATAACCACCTTTCGCAGCGCGGACAGCTGCGAGACGTGCAGGAAGAGAGTCAGTGAGGTTCTGGAAGGTACCCACAGGGATGGCGAGCCATGCCGACTCCAGTGCCGTGGCCAGCTGCGCGAGGTTGCGCGGTTGAGGATCCATGGCGCGAACAGCCCGATCGAGGTGGTCCCACAGATTCTCGATTGGGTTCAAATCCGGGGAATTTGGTGGCCAGGGGAGTACGGTCCAGCTGCGCGAGGTTGCGCGGTTGAGGATCCATGGCGCGAACAGCCCGATCGAGGTGGTCCCACAGATTCTCGATTGGGTTCAAATCCGGGGAATTTGGTGGCCAGGGGAGTACGGTAAACTCATCGTCGTGCTCTTCGAACCACGCACGTACACTGCGAGCTGTATGACACGTCGCATTGTCCTGCTGGTAGATGCCGTCGTTCTGAGGAAACACAATCCGCATGTAGGGGTGGACATGGTCCGCAAGGACAGATGCGTACTTCTGTTGATTCATCGTGCCTTGCGAGCTGTATGACACGTCGCATTGTCCTGCTGGTAGATGCCGTCGTTCTGAGGAAACACAATCCGCATGTAGGGGTGGACATGGTCCGCAAGGACAGATGCGTACTTCTGTTGATTCATCGTGCCGTCCACAATGATGAGTGCACCCAGCGAATGCCACGAAAACATTCCCCAGACCATAATGCTCCCTCCTCCAGCTTGAACCCTTCCGGCAAGTGTGGCAGGGTGTTTCCTTTCAGACGTTTCACGCCGAATACGGCAACGTCCATCTGTCCGATGGAGCATAAAACGTGATTCATCGGAAAAAGCCACCTGTCGCCACTCAGTGGACGTCCAGTTGCGATACTGGCGGGCAAATTCAAGCCTTCGTCGCCGATGAACAGCGGTCAGCATCGGTGCATGAACCAGGCGTCTGCTACGGAGGCCCATACGCAGCAACGTTCGCTGAACCGTCGTTGAGGAGACCCTGTTGGTAGCCCCGTGGTTCATTTGGGCAGTCAGTTGGTCAACGGTTGCACGTCTATTCGCCCGAACGCATCTCCGCAGCCGTCGTTCACCTCTGTCATCGATGGCCCGTGGTGCTCCACATTTGCCACGTCGCTGATTTTGGACAGTGCCATTTTGCCATGCACTGTACACTTTCACCACGGCGGCACGCGAACAGTTGACAAAATTAGCTGTTCACCTCTGTCATCAATGGCCCGTGGTGCTCCACATTTGCCACGTCGCTGATTTTGGACAGTGCCATTTTGCCATGCACTGTACACTTTCACCACGGCGGCACGCGAACAGTTGACAAAATTAGCAGTTTCGGAAATGCTGCCACCCTTGGCCCGGAAGCCTATGATCATGCCCTTTTGGACGGCCGATAAATCGCTCCGTTTCGGCATGACGGCAACGATTGTACTGTTGTCCGCTTCCCTCCGACACCCTTGCGATACCCTCCACTGCGAGTGCTGCCGCCTGCCTTCTGTGATTGGTGATTTGAAGTTGACGTCGAAAGTAGGTAGTGGTCACATTAATATGACTGGACTGTGTATTTTAACATAGGCACAATCGAAGGTTTGGAATGAGCTGTATTTCCCGGCGGATGTTGGTTGTCAATTTTGGGGTGGAATTAGAATTGAGTGGAACCTCTGTGAGTGCACATGGCCTGGTGGCGACACCATCTCAACTCCTGATTTGCTTCTAGCATCTGCAGCCTCTTTTTAGAATTATTTCAATTAGATTTTTCGTGCGACGGGGATCAATGTGGTCTCCACAAATGTTTTGACAAATCCATTTTGAAAAACATAGAATGTTCTAAGGTGAATTATGAGAGCATAAGAGTGAACTATCAAATACGTTCGCTATTTTGCTATAACTTCGTATCCATGTCATTGTTGTTCACGACTTTACACATGACTTTGTTCATCACCAAGGTCATGAAATGAATAGCAGTATTAAAAAAAAGAAAGACGAAGCACTCACTCTCCAATCGATTCGCAAAACGCAGAGTGCCTCCCTTAGACGTGCACAGCGATGGCGATCTCAGCCTTGAGTGTCCTCCTCGTCTGCTTCGTCTTCCTCCTCATCTACCATGTCATCTCTCAAGTTATTCGGCGGAGGAAAATGCCTCCAGGTTTCAACTTTGTCATTCGCTTCGTCACCATATCGAAATTATTTCTAAATGCCTGTCTTCTAGCTCGTAGTGCGGGTCGCTCGGGAGCTCTACGAGCATTTCTAATAGCTACACAAAGTGTCGTACTATTGCTACCTTCCCGTCCTTGGTATTTATTATTTGACAAAGAAAGAAAACCTGACTGTAGGCTTTACAGGGTGAGGGAAGATCCAACTAATACCTCCAATTACTTTTACCAACATTGTCCAGAAAGAAAAGCTTTTGGCCCATAGCACTCACGAAACGTGACGAAAAATATTTCAACATTTCCTCCACCGTTTCCAATGAATTCAGACACGAATTTCTAATGCATGTGATGTTACAGCCATTGCCGATGTAGTTGTTTGAGCTGTAATTCCATGCTAACCCTTTCCATGGCAAATTAATGTAGAAATGGTCAGTGACGCCCTGAACTCAAAACCTAAACTTGCTTGCAACTGAGGCACTTTGCCATATTCCAGACTGAATTACAGTTCATTGTTTCTGTTGGACTTCTCTTTCCCTCGAATCCTTGCTGCACATGTTGCTACAAACTTTGAATGAATTTTAAGTAGTGTCTCTAAGTGGAGACGCCACTATGGAAAGGGTTAACTCGGGTTTCTGCAAAATGCGGTACGGAAAAGTTTATTTGTATCCATGTACCTAGTCCTGCCATAAATTCTTTTACAAGGTTTTTTGGCAATAACTATATTAATATAAAACATACACTGTATTCGCTAACAGCATTTATCTCCCTACATAACTAGTAACAGATTACAGAAACATTATTCAAAATGTCCACCCATGACTTTAAACGATCAGGCCACTGAGCGATCGCAGTACGCACCACGTCCATTGAGAAATTGGCTGCTAATTTTGCAAGGGCTCTCTTGAAACTTGCAATATTTGCATGTATTCTGTGGCAGGCCATCAGCTCCAGCTCCGCCCACAGTTTGTAGTCCAGTGGGTTCAAATCAAGGCTCCCAGATGGCCAATCTGAGCCCTTGATGAACTCGAGGACATTGTTGGTTGGCTACTCCTGTGTTGTCTTAGCCTTGTGAGCAGGTGCAGAGTCTTGTTGGAGTCTTGTTGTTATTTGTGAAATTTGAGTTTTGTAAATGAGGTTTTATAAGGAATTATGATACATTGCAACCGCCAAAAGCAGCAAAAAAGGGCATCTCAGAAACCCTATCCTAACCTTTGAGGCACTGAGATTGTGAAAGTCAGCCATGTCATGAATAAATTCTTAAAACATTGTCAATCTAATAATCTATGGCTCATGGCTGTGCGTTGTACAAGATCTGAGATATTCAAAATTACAATAGCAAATTTAAATGGAACACCCTGTACAGAGGCTGCCCCAGCTTTACTTCACCATTTTTCATTCAGAATATTATACCTTTTTACTTCTTGTTTCAGGAACTCTCACTCCATTTCGCGTCCTTGATTCTGAAGAGTAGCCCTGCGCCTAGCTTTTCACAGTATCACAGCTACACAGGGCACAGGGATTTGAAGTAATGTGAAAACTATCTTTCAAAGGCTTTTCCTTTCTTCAACCTGAACCTCCCCCCTCCCCTCCCCCCTGCCTCCTCTCCTTCACCTCCCCTTCCCCATTGCTCGAGCAGGAGCAATGATTTGTCGAAAATGAACCGCTGAGAATATTGTCATGAAACTAAGTACTCATAATCACAAGATGTTAAAAAAAAGCCACCCGGGTGGTTGCTTCGTAATTATTCATTTATACTGTATACACTAAGCTGCTACCCTTGAAACATTCACGTCTTCCTCTTTGAGGTTAATCAACCTTTGAGTCTGCCTCTTTCAAAGCCGTCTTATTTGTAGAATGTGAATGGATTTTTACTTTGTAGGACCCTGGGGCGTTCCTTTCCTTGGTTATGCGCCTTTTCTCCTCGGCACCTGCTTCCATAAGAAATTCCATCACATGAAGAAGAAATACGGCGACGTGTTCTACGTGAATCTGGCCGGGAAAGACCTGGTGATCCTCGGCGAAGGAAGCATCATACGGGATGCATTCTCCAAACCCAACCTCAACGACAGATGCGACCTCGTCATGTTCAGGCAATTCTCCAGTGGTTGTAACGGTTAGGCCATATAATTTTTTTTTCGCTTTTTTTTCCATCGTTCCGTTCAGTTCATGCTTTATAATGATAAGCCTGGGAAGTGCAGTTAAATTTTTCTTTCGTAGTGCAGTCAGTTCGACGACGTTGCAACAATGTCAATGGCTTTTTTTCAAGTGTTCGTTAAAATAAGGAAATTCGAGCGATATCACTAGGGTGCCACTGTTGAAAAAACTATCATGTACGTCTCAACACGATAGTACATTCTCTGAGAAAGCATTCAAAATATTTTTGCCAAAAGACATATCAAGCCGATTGACTAATGGAAGCTGAAATGCTTAAACATTCCATGAGCTTACCTCATGAATCCATTCAGGTTTTTTATGTGCTAGATGGCGGTGTGAGACTGATTTCTCAAGAATAAGTATGCACCCAGGAAAAAATTCCCGCTATAAACAACAATCAATCCAGTTGGAAAAATCCAACAGTCCTAGCTGGCCAACAGCTGGATTTCCAGCTGGTGCGGGTCGTAAATTGGTATGCTATTTCTAGCTGGACTTTTCCTGCTGGATGAAGCTGGGATTTTTCAGACGTATCTTCAGCTGGATCAAGGAAATTTCTCGCTGGAAATTTCTGCATTCCCAGTTGGAAGAAAGACAGCTCCTGCTAGAATTTGCTGCATTCCTAGATAGAAGCTGGATTGCACTTGAAAATTGCTGGAATTTCAGAAGAGCGCTGATACAGAATGGCACTGGTTTCTGTAAATGAATTTTAAAATCATCTTGATCTCTGCCCATAGGCCTTGAACTGACATGGGAATTCTGATACAACCAGTTACAATATCAGTAATAAGACATTTACTTCATTTTGTGTCCTGCAAGTCATTTCAATATTAAATCTTTTAAATCAAATTTATTTTTAAATAGATACAGACAACCATATCACCAGGACACTCCGGTTTGCTGGTGATCTATTGCTACCATGGGCAACCTGTCTCTGTCACCATGTAATCATGTAGGACTGCCAAAAGGGAAGATGATCAAATGCACTCCTGATTCCTGGACTCCTGATCAGCTGCACTATTCAAGAGTGAACACATCTCATTTGGATTTTGGCCCTGATCCCAATACTTGTAGCAGTTATCATCAACAGAGGCTTATACTTGACTCTCAGAGCCTGAGAACTTTATGTGACAGGTCATAATGGCACAAATTTCAATCTTTGAGAAACTGGACTTTTGGGATATCCCTGCAGTGAAGCAAATCACCTTAGCAAAAAAAAATTACAGCAGTATTTTTAACATTTCAAAATGGGCTAGTATAAAGTGAGTTGGGTCTAGGCCTACATTATCATTGCCTGCAGAGAGAACGAAAACACTCATACAAGGTTCAAGCTGAGACCTATGAGCAGACCTGACAACGGTTGGCTCCAATGGTTGTATTTAAAAAACTAACTTTTTGCGGCTAAAACCTGCTTCTCGAAAACCCTGAAATTTTATTTTTTATTTTTCCTGGCCGGCCAGGAAAAACTGACTTTCGGCAAGGGCCTGGGCCTTGGCAAAAGTCCTTTCATAAGCCCAACAAGACGATCTATGAATGAGCAGCAGGACTAGGCGAGCCTCTATTGGGCATGACAACCTGTCCCCGTAGTAAAACCGAAACACTTTGCAGATAGGCTACCCGGGCAGCACTTCAAATGAACCGGAACAGGACGGATGAGTGGATTTGAGCGTCTTCGATTTCATCGAAGTGGTGGCAGACTAGTCTATCATGCACACTTCACACTCACGCCTTTTGCGAAAAAACTTTTCACCCACCTTGAATATGCTAACCTCCGAGAAATTCACGTTTTAGGGTTAAAAAAAAAGTTGTCTTGTGGGTCAAAAGTTCCAGTCACATCGTTCTCCCGCTTTCGAATATAATTTAATACATACACTGTTTCTGGATTGAATTCGCATACCACCTGCCGGGGGAGAACGAAGGAGATAATTCAGATTGTTGGTGCCATCTAGATGAAATAATTGCCGCCATTTTTGTGAAATTAGGCTTGATAGTTTTTTGTATAGGTCTGTCCAGTTGCCAATACAAGATTTCCTGACTATCGATAATGAAATGGACGGAACTTCATATATGGAGGCCATGCATTATGAAAGGGGTGTTCCAGATTTGAATTATATGATTGTGTATGAAGGAGAGATAGGGGCCGTGGAAATATGTACTAGATTGTACATATCTTAATATTAGGAAATACTGTGCCTTGGAATTCATTCGATTTTGTAAACAGGACATCCATCCGAGCAAACATAGTAACGTTGTGGGAACGTTCCCCCAGAGTCAATACAGTGTCATCGACGTTGAAGGTCAAAGGTTAACGTTGTGCGAATATTGTAGCCGTGTTATGACATTATGATATCTTTTTAAATCGCATTTTAAAATATTTTTATGGTAGTTTCATGGAATATGCATCGCCAAATAGGGAAACATTTTTTTTTTCGCCAAACGACAAAGAACCTATCCAGTGTTACTACCCCAGTAATACCGGATATTGGGTGAATGCTGGACCAACATTGGGCAAGATGTCTACATGCATCTTGCCATTATTGCCAATACCGACTAAATATTGGCTCAATATTGACTTCCCAATTTTGCCATTCCATCATCGATGCAATATCAGACTGACGCGATGATCCAATGTGCCCAATTTCCAATGAGGAGTTAATTTTGAGGAAATGCTGAAGTTCTCCTCTTGTCTGGCCACGGCACTGGAGTCGGCATGGCTCGCCATCCCTGTGGGTACCTTCCAGAACCTCACTGACTCTCTTCCTGCACGTCTCGCAGCTGTCCGCGCTGCGAAAGGTGGTTATTCCGGCTATTGACCGGTGGTCACATTAATATGACTTGACTGTGTATTATTATAACCCCCCCGGGCTAAGCAAAGACCTTGTAGAGTTTGTGGCAGAATGCCAGTGTCATCATATTCACTCATTTTTGTCTTCCTTTGACTTGAGTCATTCCATTGCTAGGGTGAAAAGCCAAAGTTACTTTCAACCGGATACAACGAAAAAAGTGACTTTTTAATCTCACTGACTTGCATGTTCTGGCTTGCGAAGGCCTGCAATTACTATGAAATTACTGCTTGTGGTCGACGTGAAGACATTTAGAGGTCGTAAGTGTTCCTTTCAACGTAATAATAAGTTGGTCCCATCAGCGACCAATGTAGTATGCTATGAGTCGATTCCATTACTTATTTTAAAACCTCTCTTTCCTCATCTCTCAAGCGCTGTTACGGCGTATTAGCATGTTTGAGGGCCCTTACATATAATGTTCACAGTCATCATGAAAAATTTAGCATTATCTTGCCCCACAGTCTCGCTTTGAAATCTCTGTAGGCATGGCCGATCACAATAAACTTGGATTATCTGTGGCATTTCGTCAATTCTTTTCAGCTAAAATTCAAATAATATGGGGTCGCTAAATAATATGGAGGCACCTGAATCAATGACGGAAATTCTGCTGAAGGCAACAGGGAAACGCCAGGAAAAATTGTCCTTGACAAAGTTACAATATATTTTTATTATCTGATTCTCGTCCTGTCCTTCGTAGATCTCGGCAAATATAAAAGCAATAATATAAACAAATTGCATTTAGAGTTTTCCGAGCTTTTCGTTGCTAAAAAAAATTAGATTCAGTGAGCGATCACGGCTAATCAAAAGAATCCAATGGGTTAAAAGAGGGGACGTCGCAAACGGCGAAAACATTGGTGGAAGGGTAAGGTCATTCTGGGTAAGTGCGAGCAAAGCTTACCGAAGTTTCATTTTTTATTGAATGATAAAACTCATCTACCCAAGTAGCAAGGGATCATCCATGGGACATCCCTTTTGGATCCTACGTGGGACAAAATGACATCCCATGGATGTCATAATGAAATCGTCCCAGGATATGGAAATCCCTGGAGCATTCAGAGGACATCCCGTAAGGTTAGAAATACTCTCGTCCCATACACCAAATCCTTAGTATGTCCATAGGACGTCCGTTGCGGGATGTGGATGTGTCCCATAATGGGCTTCAATTTACCTTGGTCAGAGGTCCCCCCCCCGCAGAATGCCTCTCTCTCCCGTTGTAATAGTAAGAAGTATCGAGTTGGGTTTGGTGGTGTAGTGGTAGCTCACTTTACTGGTAATTAGGAGGTCCTAGGTTCAATTCTTACTCCGACCGTCATTTTCTTTTCGTCCTCGAATTTCTTCCGAACTCCCCCCCCCCCCGGGGTTATTACGTTCTCGAGAATATATCCGACAGTCGCAACGGCCGGAAAAGAAAGCGAGCCCTAGAGAGGAAGACGTACCCCCACAGGCAGGCAGAGGACTGGACTAAGAAAAAGAACTGGAGATGGCTCACAATAGAAAAAATTTGTGGCAATTGGAAGCCATCTTAGTTGGGTCCGTGGTGGCTCTTCTCCATTCTCTACAATGGGATTTTCATCATTTCCCATCCCAGTTTCCTTGCTGTCGTGATCATGATGGCAGGCAGTCATGGTACTGGAGGCCTAATAATTCTGGGGGAGTATCATAGGGCTGATAATGTCATGTCGGAACTCTTCTTTCATGTGGGCGAGTCTCCTATTTCTCGAGTGGGCCTCCAAGTTCCAGGCCTGCCTTTGCCGAGATTGCTGGGCCTACGAAGGCGATAACGTTACGCCGTCCTTGCATCATCACATGTGTTATGGTCTTCTATTGGATGTCCTTGGATGGAATCCTTGCCCCATTGAGGCCTTCCGTCTGACCTGACATCTAGCAGTTCATTCAAGGAATATACAGTAGAATTTCCATAATATAAGCGAGGTCGCGCTCATCCTGCCGCTGTATGTCTCCCGATTTCAAAAATGCTAACGAAATGTTCTGTGTAAGCTTTCATCCTCTACTCGATAATTTCCCACGTACATGCCTAAGGAATGAAGTCATTCTAATTAATTCATTGGTTGAGAGACATAACATAGCTCAAGGAGACTCTCGGCAATTCTTGCACATTGCATGGTGAGAGTGTGGCTCCCCTTGCCAAGTAAGTCTGTTCCTTCCTCGTAAGAACCATGCCCACCATGGCGATGGGGAAAACAATGTGTCGATAGAGAGAAAAGGACCGGAAGTGGAGAGTTTCGACTCAATAATACTTCATTTTCCTTCCAAACACTCCTCTACTAGTTCCTCCAAGAAACGTGAGGGCGAGATTGTCAACAGGCAGAAAATGCTTTCTTCCCACACCATGAATATTCATGATCAGGCAAATTGTGCTCCATAACTTCCTGGGGATTACTATCGCTGCACCTCTCAATGGTCATCCAAAAGCTTTCCCAAAGGGAATCTCCAATGGAACCAAAGAGACAGACATCCAATAGTCCATCCAATGGACTTGTCCAAGGATTTTCCTTGGACAAGACATTTAGTCATCAAGGGGATGTCCCAGGAAGATATACATTGGATGTCCAAGTGTCCATGAGGGTATGTCCAATGGATTTATTTTAGATCAAAATGAATACTTGGGTGAATAAGGTGCATGTAAATTATTCGACAGTTTGATTTTTATAGAAGCATTTTTTTTGTAAACTGCACCCTTCAAAAGATCTTTGCAATGATGTAATGTCTTCAGTTACAAGGTTTTCAGTTATCAGAGACACCATGAGGATTCATACCAATTTCTAACATAGACTTCACCTTCTTGGTAGGATGTAAATTGGAGTATCCTGCTCTCTAATGAAGAGTGGAATGAATGTGCAACACTGATGCCCTTGAGACGTCTAAGTGATTGAATACATCTCTACAGTTCACTTCTTTCTTTCCTTTCCTTTTACTATACTGAACTGAAGGTGTCCTACACTCAGTTGTTGGATCACTTTACAAATAATGGTGGTAATTATCTGTTGCCTGTTCTTCAGGTATTTACAAACTTCCTAAGTACATTTCCCCATACTCCATAGTTTTTATCTTCCTCAGTAATATTCCATAGTCTACAGCATCAATACTTTATTTTTTTCATCATTCCACATGATCACAAAAGGAACAGGAAACACCAAGCAACAAAACGTCAGACAAATTTTAAGATACACGACAGATACTATCCAATCCATGAACTCAATAACAATAAATCATCGAATGTGCTGCATAGACAGCAGCTTTTGGGTTTCACAATCTCCTGGAATCTGTCGAGGGAAAGAAGTGACTAAAAAGGAATGCCATACTGTTCCTGCTAAGTAGTGAAGGTGAAAAGGTAAAACATTCGGAGAGAAAGGCAGAGAGATAGAGAGGCAGACATGTTAATATATTGTACATCAATTTAGGAAATATATTTTTTCTTCTTCAAGGAGGGCATTATGCATGTACCCTGCTGTCATGCAGTCTCTCCTTGAGGAGGACTTTGTAGGGCTTCGGAGAGTTAATGATGAAACTCCCATTGGCCTCTCTGGGAGGGATCGGGTGTCCTTCAGGAACGCAGAAAGTGAACTTTTGCATGAAGATTGCCATGAAGAGGAACAATTCTATCTTGGCCAGAGATTCCCCGAGGCATTGCCTCCTTCCTGAACAAAAAGTATTCATGTCTCCCATCGATCCAGATTATCAGTTTTTAAATGAAATCGGAACAAACGTCGAAGACTCTCATCTTACCGAGACCAAAAGGCAGAAAATTGGATACGTTGGTCTTCACTTTCCCATCCTCGTCCAGGAATCTCTCTGGACTGAACTCCTCCGGGTCTGACCAGAATCTTCTGTCATTGTGGCACGACCAGATGTTCCCCAGAACGATCGTGCCCTTTTAGGAAAGGATACAATACGGTTGCATCATACATAGGTCATACATAATCTAGGAAAGCACTAACAGATCGAAATGAAAACTGCGAGACATAGCCAAATACACATTAAATAGATAAACTAGCAAAATTATGTATAACAGTCTGCACACTTGGCCCTTACTTAGCTAAGGTAATTTTGGTCACACCCTCTGTCAAGGGGGCGTTTTGACTCAAAGGAAAAGAACTTTCATTTTCAAATGTGGATCTCCTTCTAAGACTTTTAAAAAAAGATAAAAATGACAATTATAACTTTTTCGAGAATTTCTGAATCATTCAGTACCCATAGACAACCTGCATGTGAGTTTTGGTGAAAACTACCCCACCCCTCTTAACTCAAGAAGGTTTAAACATAGGTCTTCCCATTTGGATCGCACAAAACCCTCGTTGCTGATAGCTGAATTCAGCTTTTTTTTTAATTTAATGAAGAGTTTATGGAACTACCGTCTGTGATGAACGTAGCAATTAAAATGGATCAATAGCTTGTATCTGGCATGGTGAAATCATGGTATTTCTCATTCCAAATCGCTACGGGGGTGATACTGCATTACTCCATAAATAATCATCCAAATATTCATTTATTACAATAGGACTGGTATATCTAAGCGGTTGTCACCTCTGCAGTTATATGGTTTGATCCTCATCATACATTTCCCTTTTTGTTGTCATAATTTCCCTGTGATCTACTTAAACAAACTTCAAATGCAACTAGTAAAAAAATTAACGCATATCCAGGAATGTTAAGTCAGCTGGATCTGAAACAGGCAGAGGACCTCCAATAATGTCTGTAAAAAAAAAAGATAAACTCTGAAACAAATCTCATAGGGCTGTAGAGGGGGGTGGGGTAGGGGTGGAGTTCATCCCATTAACATAACCCTTCAGAGTATGAGATTTCATCTTCGGCCGTTAATCACTACTTGAAATCGTAAGAAACACTTCCACAGAAAAAAAAGGGGGGGAAACACATTAGATATGAGCAAAAGGGGACATTCCAACGCATAATAAATTAATTCCATCCCTCAAAAAGGAAAAATCTGCCTGTCATCCACAAAACCCCTGCGGCTACGAACTTCTGGATCATCCCTCAAACCTATATAACATGTTCGAGAAAAGTGAAGCTCACCACGTAGAAAATCTAAATTTTTACAATGTGGACTGCAAAAGAGGTTTGGAGTACTATTGCTTACCTTGGGAATGAAATAGCCATTGATCTCGGTGTCATTGTTGGCAACGTGAGGTGCTCCCATGGGGATTAAGCTCCCATGTCTCAACGATTCCATTATGAATGCTTCCGTATACGGCATGCTGAAATGAGTCCAAACGCATCACCTCATTTTCTTTCCCCGTGATGTTCATATAGCGTGGGTGAAGTGGTCATAGAAAGCACCATCTACCTTGATGGTGTCGCAGATGGAAGTAATTTTGGCTTTGAGGTTCATGGTCATCATCTTCTATGAGGTGGATTTGTACCATATAGGAGGAGAATTTGGAACCAGGTGGATGTCACACCTTACCTTATCCACCTGGTTCCAAATCCATCCGCAGGTGTAGGTTTTGTCAGGGGCATTCTCTCTACATTCTTTAATTGCTCTCTACGAATCTTTCGCTGAACAATAATTCTAATTAAGCAAGGATGGAGTAATAAGTATTTATGCATTCATACCTATTAATCCTATGGCTTATTGTGTTATATGATCTTCGTTTTTCCTCTGTGCTTAGTGGAATGCTTCGAAATTTTGAGCTCTAGGAGGGTCATTCCTTGTCGAATCACCCAATAAAACATGGCTTTTTACGGGGTTCCCACTATGAAATTGATTATATTTGGTGTGTGGGTTTCTCTTAAAGGATAACAAAAGCCTACTGATTTTTTTCCCACTCTCTGACCTATTGTTCAAAAGTTAAGTCCATACGAAATTTGAGAAGCGGAGCTTGTCCTCCAATAGGAATATGTGTATAAAACGTGAAGTTATGGTCCGATTTTATTAAACAAGGTGTCCTTTCAAAGGGAAAATATGGGAAATTCCAAATATGCAATCATAACCAAGTTTAAAAAACTTTTGAACATGTTCGCACGTCTGAGCACCTTTTGACCTTGAAAATGACCTTGTGGATCCGAAGCGAAACGAATGCCAATTTTATAGTCAAAGCACCTATGTCTTAGCTAGAGTATAGCAAAGTTTTACTGATAAAATTTTTTATTACGCCGCAAATTGTTTTCAATTTCGGCACTTCATATCCATACGTCTTCGAAAACACTGATCTCAGGGCCAAAATTATTTTGAGGCATGGATTTTCTTGCTTGGTTTTGTGATATAGTAATTTTGGATACCCTTACGGAAAATTCCAATAGGAATCCCATGGGAATCCTATAGTATTCCTTCGGGAATCTAGTAGTAAAATCACATTCCTTTAGGGTTCCTATAGGAATTTTTTACTCCTGAGTATGAGTGTCACCAGGTGGTGCACACAAGGAAATGAAGGATTCATAAGAGAAGAGAAGATAACTGTTTTCCAGTCTCACCAGACCAGCTTTAATTAGGTGCAAGATTTCCTATTAAGCTCTATTTCTGAGAGGGTATCCCGTAAAAGTTCATGCTTCATTGGGTGATTTGACGTGGAATGACTCGGGAGCTGAATAAGCGAAGACGTTGAGCTTTCTTTGGCATCATGTTGAAAAACTCTCTGCACGGATGAACTCGTGTCCCAGTAAAAAAAAAAGGTAAAGTAATATCAATCTGATCTGTTTCACACACATGGAAGGCAATATACAAGGGTGTAGAAAAGTTTATGGACTTTTTATACTTAGAGCGCTTGCACCGAATATCCGCATCTTGTTAATTTATGATTTTGGCTAGCCTGCATGACATTCCATAATTTTCGCAGATCGGGGACCTTGCCAGAGTGGAAGTAAATGAAGATGACTGAGGACCATGCGAGAGAGCAGTGGATCATAATGAAACTAGACCACAACCGCGTCCTGTGGTATCCACTTCACGTGAGAAAAAATTTCGACAAGCATGAAGAATCTCGGTTTGGGATGACTTCCGAAGTGGACTACCCGCAGAATGGCAATAAATATATCGCATGAAAATACTGAATGAATGAGTTACAGTGACATGTTTCAGTTGAGAGTGTTGAGGTATGAGTGTGTAATATTAACGAGCTTATATTATGGTCATGTTTTACGTTGTCATTCTGAAGAAGGAATGTTCGGCGACCCACCTTTACCATTGTGTCTTCTACCTGTGCCATGGCCTTACCAGGCATGCACACTGTACACAAGGAAGGCTTTCTTACGTCCTTCTGGTCTTGTCTTCGCTTTTCTGGTGAGACTATCGCACTAGCACGGTTAATGAACCTCAGCGATTATTTCCCCAGTTTGGCTTTAAAGGCCAAAGAAAGAAAGGCCGAGAAAGTCAAACTATTTTGGGAAGTGATGGGTCAGTAGGGTTATTTTTTAACCTCACTGACCAATCATCCCCCCAAGTTACGCTGACTTTCTCGCTCTATCGGCTAAACATAGAAGAAATTCGGTTCACTTTATCTGTGCTCATCATGTCTTCTCTTCGTGAGCAGACAAATTGTCGCCGGACAAAATGTTGAAGGACAAAATGTCACCGCTGAGAAAATGGTTCTGGTGTTTTATACCCATATAGCTGGAGGTTGAACTGGGATAGGTATAGGGAGGAAGTTTCCTTCTGGAAAAAGCTGAGTACCAAGTACAAGCTAATAATATTCATTCAAAATAAGAAAACACAAGTCCAAAAAGGGGAAATCACAGGACATTAATGCTGACAACGCGTCCAACTTTAGACAAAAATAGTACAATATCCCGATTAGCAAAGACAGCTACCATTGTGCTGAGAGCCTCATTTAGTCGTTGATACTTCTTCCTTTTCTTCGGAGGCGGTAATCCCATCTCATACTGCCGATTTTTTACTGCATGCAAATGTTGCTCTTTCTGCAGCTTCTGAGGAAGGCGCGCAGTTGAAGGATGGGCGATCCCAACAGAGTGATTGAATGCTTGGTGCTACCCCTCCCAATATAATTTTTTCTCTCCTCTGCTATTTGGTTTTCTTGTCTATTTTGAATGACATTTTTTAGCTTAGGGACATCTCAGCGAGGGAGTAGGAGTCTAATCCATCAGGCATTTTTAAAACAGGAGGATTAGGAGTGAGGAGGACTTGTAAGGGAGGCGGATGAAAAGGAAAATTATTTTTCCTAGGGTTGCTTCCCTCCCCCTCACCAAGAAATGTCAAGATCGTATATCAACACTTCGAAGAAAACATTGAAATTCCAGTTCCAAATAACTTGCCAAAAGCAAGAGACGTACCTGCTTCCTGAAATGGTTTCAATGACCTATTGTCTATAGATGATAATCATGCTAACTGCTTCATTGTTGACAATGTTCTTCTAAGATGCTAGTGGGTCACTCTTGAGTCCATTTCTTGACTTCTACGCACAATTCTAACATGATCACTATCACGCATACTTAATTCCATAAGCCGAACATTTTGTCAAGCGATAGTATGTTTCGTTTATATTTGTCCAAAAAAAGTTTTCCGCGACACTTTGTCCTGGCGAAATTTTGTCTGCGACATTTCGTCCTAGTACCCTGCTCTTAGGTTAGTTTGTTTGGGTTCATTGAGAAAACCCAAAAGCACTGGTGAAATAGTGTGTCAAGCATCCAGGTGATTGAATTATTCTTTGCGGGAATATGAAGGCTTCCTGTTCCCAAGAAAACGGGCGCTCTCGCTCTCCGTTCTATATGGCTACCCCCATGTTGAACGTGCGCGCGCACGCCGACTCCATGCTTGCCTAGCCTAAAACCCACACTTCATAACATTAAAAGTACTACTTCTTTTCTTATCTTTCTCAGCAAAAATATCCCCCACGCAATCTATACATCAAGAGCTTGCGATTGATGCATCACATGTACCATTCATCGGGTGGTCAACTTCGAAAGTTTTCCCTAAGGGTTAAATTTTAATGAGCAGCATAAGAAATTTAGTTAGTAATAACATATAAAGGGCGTCGTCGAGATCCAAGAGACTGCTTAGTCCGATCCAAGTGTAAGCACTAAAGAAGTAGCATCGGGAAAAAAACTAAACAATTTCTAAATTAATTAATCAATTAACATGTTATAATTTTTGTGCAAGACTACAGACCGTGACAATTAATATGAGATTACTATCATCTTCATACAACCTTTCCTTCATAGGTGATTCGGCTAACTGCGTATTATTATAATAATTTAATGTATAGTGTAGATTAATGTGGCTGAGGGTGAGAAGGTCGCATCCATCAACACATATATACAAAATGTTTATATGGAGAAATTTGATGTTCCAATTGATCGACTGATATGCGACAGTCTGCCCAAATAAGCTCCTCCACAAGGTGGATGTTGACTTCAGTGACCGACATGCTAGGCGGCGAGAGTCACATTCAATCAAGAGTCAAGAGAGTTAGTGATATCAAGAGGCGATTTCGCCCATTTCGATATCACGTGTCG